ACTGAGAGCACTTGTTCCACTTTGAGTCCAGGTTCAAAGCACTAATCACTAAGTTCTGCACCATTTCCTCTACATTTCATTTCTGTGTCATTTTTCCATTCACTAGCTGTGAGTGTGACAGGAGCCAGAGTGCCCTCAGGTGTCCCTTGGAGCACACAGAGGCCCTTGGATCCAAGTGTCCAAGTGAAAGGCAAGTCACCCAGAGGCCATGCCTTGGCAGTCAGAGGTGGCTGGAGGCAGCTGAGAGCTCTTCCATCTCCTCGGGGGCTCCAGTGAGTGCTGGTGAGGCAGAGCCAGGGCCCGGCATGTCACCCTCCAGCTGTGCCCGCTCCAGCAGCCCAGGAGCACCCCAGAGCTGGCAGCGAGGGCTCTGCTGTCTCCTCACCCGCGGAGAGCGGGGCTGGCTGGGGCAGCGTCTGCCCCCAGCCCTCTGTGTCCGCCCCCGCGCCTGCATTCAAGCTGGTTTCAAGCAGTTTTTGGTCTGATGCAATTCCCTGCCGCATCCCCCTGAAGCCGACTGCAGAGGGAACCAACACCCGCGGCAGGGCGCAGCAGAGCGGAAAGGTGATCTACATGCAAATGCTGCAACCGGCCCACAGAAACTAATAAATACATCCAATTTATTGTTCACGCTTGGAGTTAATGATTATTGCACCTCACCTGGGTAACTGGGCCCTCTGGAGAGAATCAGGTATTCATTTCAGTTCAGTCAGTCAGTGGCAGCCCACGCAGCACTTTTGCCAGGAGGAAAAGAGAAAGGAAAAGGGGAAAAGGAGGAGGAAAAAGGAAAAATGAAGGAAAAGGGAAAAGGACAAGGGAAAAAGGGAAAGGGAAAAGGAAAAAGGAAAAGGGAAAAGGGAAATGAAAAGGGAAAAGGAAAAAGGAAAAAGGGAAAAGGGAAATGGAAAGGAGTCGGCCCGGTGCCCTCCCCGCGGGCGCTCGGCCCGGCCGGGCGCGGGGCGCTGCTGCCCCCTGCTGGCGGCGGGCGGACACCGCGGGCACCGAGCGCACCGGGCACACCCCTGGAGCACACTTTGCACACGCCTGGCACACACCTGGCACATATCTAGCACACACTTTGCACACACCTGGAGCACGCCTGGAGCACGCCTGGCACACCCCTGACACACACTTTGCACACACCTGGCACACACCTGGCACACCCCTGGCGCACACCTGGCGCACACCTGGCACACCCCTGGCACACACTTTGCACGCCTGGCACACACCCCGCGAGGCCTCCCAAGTGTCGCACACAGCTAGTCCCCCCCAGCTGGCACCCTCCAGGCCTGGCCCACCCCCGCTCCTCCACACGCACCCGCTGCCCAGGGCCCTGCCGGAGCGGTGCCCAGGGTGCTCCCGCGGTGGGTACCGGGCCGTGCCAGACCCGGGCCGTGCTGCTGCCAGCTGCTCTCGGTGCTGAGCACAGGGCGCTGACCAGGGCAGCCCCGAGCCCACGCTGCACTCACCGCCCCCGAGGCCGAGCCCATTAACCGCATTTAAGGAGCGGTAATTAAGGACGGGGCGATGCAGCTTGCCCAGCCCTCCCCCTGCCCGTGCCCTACACAGACCCAGCGAGCACCACCAGCTGTGTCTGCAGCTGCCCCACCTCAGCACGGATCATGGATGGAACCGGGGAGCTCTCTGCCTCTCCACGCCGCCAGGATGGGAGGGGAATGAAGCTACAACCCAGCAGAAAAAAACCCAAAAACAAACAATAGGAAGAGACAGAACCCAGCCTGAAGAGTCCAGCGCAGTTCCTCACAGCCTGGGTGCGAAGGGCCCTGGGGCTGCTTGTTTAGAATGTGAGTTTTTTATCCCCTCAGCACCATAAACAGCACGCAGAGCCGGCTGCAGGGGCAGGAGACAGTGCCCAGGTCAGGGCAGGATGCTGAGGGGCGTAGGAGGTGTGGGGAGGAAGCACAGGCAAGAGGCAGCAAATGTTCTGAAACCACAGACAACGTTTTTGAGAAAAGTTAAGCAGTTTATTCAACAGGATGAGTCCACACCCAACCAGTGGCTTCATCTACATGGCATCACCAGCACACACGAGGACCCACTCAGACACTCTAGCTGACGGCATCTCACCATACGTTACAGAGACAACACCAGAGGAGGAAGAGGAGGAGGAGGATGGCCGGGACAGCGGGCAGTGTCCCATGGCCTCCCGGCACAACCAGCCCCGGCCCCCCCAGACCCCGCAGCCCAGCCACGCAAAGCAAATCAGACTCGGGACATCTACTGCCGCCCCGCGAGAACCACAACACTGCTAGGCAAATTACACACCCGGGACACAACAACCACCTACCAGGGACTTCAGCCTAAGGAACAAAGTGCAGTCATGGCCGCCCGGGCCCGCGCTCCGGCGCTGAGGGCCTGTCCAGGGCACGGGGGGTGCCACCGCGCTCCCCTCACGGCAGGGCCATGGCCGGGCTGGACACTGCAGGGACACGGTGCCACCGCGCTCCCCTCATGGCAGGGCCATGGTGCCACTGTGCTCCTCTCACAGCAGGGCCATGGCTGGCATGGGGCAGGGCTGCAGTGCCACCGTGCTCCCCTCATGGCAGGGCCATGGCCATGGCTGGGCTGGACACTGCAGGGACATGGTGCCACCGCACTCCCCTCATGGCAGGGCCCATGGTGCCACTGTGCTCCTCTCACAGCAGGGCCATGGCTGGGATGGGGCAGGGCCACGGTGCCATCGTGCTCCCCTCATGGCAGGGCCACGGTGCCACCGCGCTCCTCTCACGGTAGGGCCATGGCTGACATGGGGCAGGGCCACGGTGCCATCGTGCTCTCCTCAGCCCCATGGCAGGCCATAGCCATGGCTGGGATGGATGGGGCAGGGCCACAGTGCCACCACACTCCCCTCAGCACCATGGCAGGCCATGGCCATGGCCGGGCTGGATGGCAGGGCCGCAGTGCCACTGCGCTCCCCTCATGGCAGGGCCATGGCCACGGCTGGGATGGATGACACAAGTGCCACCACACTCCCCTCATGGCAGGCCATGGCTGGCAGGGCTGGACAGGGCTGAGCCCAGAGCGGCGCGTGCCACCACACTCCCCTCATGGCAGGCCATGGCTGGACAGGGCTGAGCCCAGAGCCGAGCCCAGAGCGGCGTTCGCTCTGCACAGCAGACACAGCTGCCCTGAGCAGCCGCCCTCCGCAGCCCGGGGCACAGCTCACCCAGCCCAGGGCACAGCTCACCCAGCCCGGCTCCGGCGGCAGCTCGGCCGTGGGCCGTCACAGTGAAGCTCTGTGAAGCCTGAAGCCCACACACAGTCTGTGCCCTCAGGGAGGTACCGAGGATCGGAGTCAGTCACTCACAAACCATGAGCGAGTTCCAGTTATGATGCTCCTACAACGCATGTGGTTCGATTTTGTGCCAAGTTCGCTTACAGAAAAATACATTTCTTCCCTTAAATTTACAGTAGTTAAAACTACACTTGGAATACCATATTACAAAGGGGGAGTTTATTCTCCAACAAAAATTCTTGATTCCCTTTTCATTAAACAGAAAAATGGAAGGACTTCAAAAGCAATCACCCCCAGCACAACACAACTGCCCAGACGAACCCATGTGTGCACAGCCCCCAGGCCTGAACTCCAACCGTTTGTTTTGGTGCTCAAAAAGGCACTTAAAGATAAGAAAACAATTGTATTAAAAACCCACAACAAAACAAAACAAAGGAAAGTGGAAGGCAATAATTTAATAGAAAGACACTGGAATTTGTACCGTATGGTCAAAAGTAAGGGAGGAAATAAAACCCCTAATGAAGATGGGTTTGCTCTCAAGTCATCTCAGAAAGCATACAAAAACCAGAAAACTGGCAAAGTGAATGTTCTCCAGGAACTAAATGGAAACAAAAGTAATAATTACTGGCAATGGCCACACAGCACTCGTGCCAAATGGGTCCTTCCCTCCCCAGCACAGGTCCCCGACCAGCCCGGCCTGGCCGAGCACCCGCAGCCGCCGCGCCAGGCCGGGCAGTGCCCAGGGGCTGCGCCAGGAAAGGGGGTGATGGAGAAATAAACACCAACGTGAACCAAACGCCGAGGACGTTCACAGACACGCACACACGCCGTCTGCCCTGCCAGCGTGGCAGGGAGGGCCATGGGCAGAGCTGCTCCCCACGGGCTCTGCGAGGGGTGCCGGCGGCTTCGCTTCCCTTCGCGATTACTATTATTATTACTGGGTTTATTTTTACATTGAGCTACCTACTAAGTGCAAAGATTTGTTGAGTGGCATTGGCTTTATCTAGTTTGAGCCTATTTTTGTACAGTTTACAGGTTAACAGTTACTTTCGAGCAGATAAGCAAGTACAGCGATATTTACAGGGCTGGCAGAGCGGGGCGCGAGGGGACGTGGGGCCGGGCACGGGACGGGCACCAGCCAGTCCCACGGCTGTGGTGTCAGCTCTGTGCCCGTGCACAGGGCGCAGCCGTGAGGTGAGCTGTGGGTGCAGCTGTGGAAGCACAGGCACACAGGTACAGGCGTCAGTGTACAGGCAGTCTGCACGCGTGGCAGCTCCCTAGCCGAGGACACACGGGCCACGGCAGGACTGACGGGTTCTGCCACCCTGGGCAGTGCCTCCGCTGCTTCCAGAAGTCAGGCTGCTTCTCCTGCAGAGCTGGGGTCCGCAGCGGTGCTGGAGAGATGAGGAAGATGAAGGGGGGACAAAGCAAAGCCCCAGGCAGGGTAAGTGGCTGCTGGGTGAGTCAGGAGGGCTTGCAGGCGTCTTCGCCCAGGCACAGAGCAGCAGGATCAGAGACAGCGGGGAGGAAGGGTGAATGTCAGGAGACATTAGCACGTGACCATGGGGAAGTGCCAAATCAAACCATGGGGCATTGCATGGAAATCTGTACAAGGAAAAGCTGCAGGAGAAGCACGGAGCATCTCGGATTCAGTGCTTACAGAGGAGTCTGGATTATCACACAGGACCATGCAATCCCCAGCCTTCTGCATATTTTTTTCTCTGGTAAAACAAAATGTAGATTCTTTTGCATAAACTCAAACTGTTGTATTATATGGTACAGTACAGAAAGTGCAAAGTATCACCCATCAGATCAGCTTTGCATCTGATGAGGTCAAACACGGCTCATGCTTCTCATGCAGGACAACCACTCTGACCTGAGACCCCTCCTCACTGCTCAGGCCTGACTCTCAAGAGACCACTGGGTTGGGTTTTGATTTAAAAAAAAAAAAAAAAAAAAAAAGGAAAAAGCACGTGGGGAAAGGGAGATGAAGAATCTCCAAACTCTAAGTTACTCCATGCTTTACCACAGGTTTGGTCACTAGTCCTTGCTCACTCTGAGAACTTGCAGAGAAGCAGCATTCCACAGTCCCAGTGCAGCACAGCGTCCTCCTGCACGAGGGTGATGGCACACGCCTCACTCTGTCCCACTCATGACACTCACTTCACTCCATTCCCACCCATGGCACACACCTGGGTTTGTCCCTGCTGCCAGGGCACCACAGGCACATGAAGACATCTCAGGATTCAGGATTGGAAAGACTCCTGCTGGCCAGTCACACATGGTCATGTATGGATTTCCAGCTCTTCTCCACAGCCCAGCAGTGAACAGACCACACTTGTATTCCCATCCCTTTTTTTTTTTTCAATGCCAAGAGGTACAGAAGATAAATTCCAGGCTGGCCTTGTATTGCTTGGCGCACAGCTGCTGCAGTGTGGGCTTCCAGGTGCACACAGACAGCCTTGGAAACCCAGACCAACCCACTGTCTCAAGAGAGGACATTTCAGAGCCAGTTTCTGAGGTAAATCTACTGTTTTAAAAAGTCACTGAATTCTGTACACTTTGTTTTTAATATATACTTCTACACTGAGTGTGCTCTCCAGTGCCAACACGTAGACCTGCCGTCTCCTCCTGCTGTAGGACTGCAAGCTCGGGAAGTGGTTCTGCATGGATGGGGTGTGTGCACACCTATGTACATACACACACACGTATGTACAGCACCAGGCCCAGGCCCCACGCGTGTTTCCTTGCACAGAGGCTCCCCGGGCAGGGCTCTGCCCCCCTGCCCAGCCAGCGAGGCTCCGCCGTGCCCGCCCCGCTCCCGGCGTCCGCAGTCCCCGTGCCCAGCCTACATGGTGCCCGATTTATCTGCCGAGCTGCTGGGGAACAGCTTCTCGGTGGGCGTGACGGCGGGGCTGCCCACGCCCGAGCTGCTGCTGCTGCTGGAGCGGTGCTGCACCACGGGCCGCACCGGCCGCATGGGCGGCGGCCGCAGCTGCGCCCCGGCCAGCCGGGCCGACAGCGCCGGCTTGAAGGTGGTCATCATCTCGCTGGTGGAGCTGCTGCTGCGCCGCATGGCCGCCTCGGGGTCCCGGATCAGGATGGTGTGCAGGGGGCTGGCCGGCTCCGAGCTGGCGGCGCCCAGCGGGGGGTTCTTCAGGGGCTCCAGCGTGTCCAGGACCACGTCGGGCGCCTGCTTGGCCGTGTTCTGCCTCTCCAGCTCCCGCAGCTCGTTCAGCGCCGTGCTCATGGTCTTCTCGATGTCCTGCCAACGCAAAGCAACGTCAGCTGTGCCACAGCACCACCCGCTCTCCTGCACACCACCAGCTATCCTGGCAGGCGTGTCTGCAGAGGGGGGGTCTGAGCTAAGAGCTCCCAGGGAAAACAGGAGCTTTGGGAGAAGCTGTGAAGCCCAGACTGGCTGCACAAAGGTGCCCTGTGCTCCCCACGTCACCGGCTCCAAAGAGCACAAATCCTGAGCACCAGGAGTGATGGGTGAGCACCAGCCCGCCCACACAGCTCCCCCACAGCACTGAGGCTGGCTTTTCCTCACAGGAGAGACCCTGCAGCCTCCATTGCATGTCTGGGCCTCTGCTGCCCCACGCACACAGGACAATGGCACGTGGCAGGGACAGACACAGGGATGTTTATGGAGTGAGTGGCACAAGAGCAGCTCGCCATGGATATCAAGTTAGCTCCAATTAATTCTATTAAGCTCCTAAGATGATGAGTGAAAATATTCTCCCAGAGAAGCCTCAGGACTCCCAAGCCCAGCAGCCCCACAAGACTCAAGGTGAAAATTAACATCATCTGGGTGAGCATCTTTTCCAATAACATCCCAACAGAGCTGGGTGTGACAGCAGTGGCAGCAGCACTGTAACAGTGTCTGAGGTGAAGGGGCTCCAGGCACTCCCCTGCAGCCTCCAGGTGCCCTCCCAGCCCTCTTACCTCAGCAAGAGCTTCTGCTTCCAGGGATTTCTGATCTCCAAGGCTGCTGTGCCGGGTGGAGCCGCAGGTCGACCTCAGAGGGTGGCTGTCAGCCAGGGCCTTCCTGTCTGGGAAATTGATGCTGCCCACGCTGCCGAACGTCGCCATCCTGCGCTTCTCAGGACTCTCGATCCTGCCCCTGTTGAGGGGGATCTTGTGGGGGCTGCTGGGGCAGGCTGCTGCTCGAGGAGGGGTGTCTATGCCGGGCCCCATGCCTCGGGGCGGGCTGTGGGTGTCCCCCCCGCTGCGGCGCCGGGGGATGGCTGCACCATCAGACCTCAATCTCACCCTGCAAGGAATCCAGCACGCACCAGGTCAGCGTCTCAGCCCCACCACGGCTGGCCACCTGCTGCAAGGCAGCAGCTCAGCCCTGAGCTCAGCTCAGACCAAATTCCAGCCTCCCAGCTTCAGAAGACTCAGCCAAGAGGAAAGACAAATACTTTAGCCAGTACCAAGAAAGGGACAGCATCAAATCGTAAGAGTAGTTTGGGTTGGAAGGGACCTCAAAGGTCATCTTGTTTCAACCCCCTGCCATGGGCAGGGACACCTTCCACAATCCCAGGATGCTCAGGGCCCCTGTACCCTCTGTGAATGTTAAATTCCCATTAGCAGTGCACATGAAATCCCTCCAAGCTCCTATTACCCTACAGTGCTTACCAGAGCTTTCCCTGCCATCCTGCCCTACCCACACACCGACTGCCCACGCCTGTGACAGCGACCACCTCATGGTGACAGGAATGTGAGTTACCTGCCCATCACTCCCCCAAAGCCATAGTCCATGATGTGATCTGTTGGTGACTGGATGTCGTTCTTGGAGGAGGCTTTGTCGTCCAGCAGCGGCCCGCTGCTCGCCTCGCTGTCTGCCTTCTGGCTCAGGCTGTCAGAGAAGGCATCGTCCCTAGGAAAGGACAACCAGTGACAGGGCTGTGCCCAGGGCAGCCAGGGTGCCACGCCAACCTGGACATCACCACCTCAGCAGCTCCACCCTTGGTTAACAAGCAGCTGCACCAAGGCCACCGCTTCACTGGGAGCTGGGAAACAATGCACACCTGCCTCCCCATCCCCTGTGATGACTCCAGACACAGCACTTGTAAGAGAGGCAGCACCTGCAAAGGGCCCTGGGACCTGCCCACAGGCCAGGTGAGCACTGAACAATCCAGGTCAATGCTCACAGGGACAAGGCCAGTGGTAAGCCTGGGTCACACCATGCTGGGGAGGCAATGAGAGATGGGGTCCAGGTACACTGAGGTACAGTGTTTAGTACTGGTCTTTATCAGCCCAAATGAGAAACAAATGGAGCCAGTGCACAGAAAGGGAGAAGTGAACAGGCACAGATTTCTCACCAAAGTCATTAAACAAACTGCAGAACTGGCTGATTATTTTAGGTGACTGACGTGGACCTTGTGCAAGTACGTGATTTGAACAACCCTCACTTTACTCACATGTCTTGCACCACGATGTACTGGTGGGGAATGAGCCCGTCCACCCCGTTGTGTCTCCCTTCCCACCAGTCTTCCGACGCCCGATGGTACAGCAGCAGCGAGGCCCCTTTCTTGAAGGAGAGCTCCCGTGGAGATCGGCCAATGTAGTCAAACTTGGCTATGGCTTCAATCTGCTCCACCTCTGCACAGGAGAGAGGCACAGCGAGGGCAGCTGAGCTCAGCCCTGCACGGGAGGCTGAACCCCAGAGCCCCTCACCAGAGCAGCAGTGCTGCTGCTGCCCAGCGCCCCCACAGCAGCTCACACTGAGCACGAGCCTTCTTGTTTTCAGACTGATCAATTCTTAGTGCTGTTCCAGGCTCTCTGGACCTCTCAGACTCACAAACTACTGACAATTACAAACAGCTAGAAAGCAGATGGGGAGCAGCAGGAATCCCCCTCTGTGCATATGGCACCCTCACCAACATTCCCATTTTCCGCCTTTGGTTACACAAACCCATTATCCTCCAGCCTGAGATTTTGTCAAGCCATGTCAGATGCTGTGATCAAACCCCACTTATCTTCGCCTCCCTTCCTTATCCTGGAGACAGTTTGGCCTGAATTATTGATGAGAAACTAATGTCCCTTTGGGGATTCCCACAGAAATAATGATACCACTCCAGCCAGGCAGCTGCTCTGCACCCCGCCATCTGCAGCCCTCTGCCTCACTGTTTCCCCACTTTTCCTAATGTGAGCTCTACCAAACACCCGTGACTCAAACTGGGAGCTCAGGGCCTGAAATACAGGAGGGCTGAGGCAGACCTTCACTTTGGAAGGTCATGAGCACACCGGGGTCCTCTAAGCCTCTGGCCAAGTGTGTCACAGCAGGAGCTGCTGGGGCACCCAAGGGCACTGAGGAGCCTGTGAAAGAGCCTGGCTCACATGCAGATCTGTTTCCAGCTGGGGAGCACTGAATCCTAAAGAAACCATTGCAACAACTGCAAAGCAGCAGCAGTGTCTCTCTCCTCATTAACCAGAGCGACCCACACTGTGCATTGCTTGGGTGGCAGAACTGCTGCCACTCCCCAGCCACCCCTGCCACTGCTGGAGCATTAGCATGCCTTGATTAACTGAGACAGTGGATCATTTCAATCCCCACCTGGGGACTGGCCGACAGAAAATGACAGAGCAGAACAGGGCAAGCCCCCCAGTTCCTCCAGATCTGCCTCATTCTCATTAAACACGGAACCTTGCTCTGCCCCATTACTGACTGTGGGCTCAGCATCCAGCAGTGCGTGACCCGACACTCTGCTCAGGAACCAAACCCACGTGGAGGAGGGGACACCAAAGGAGGACACGGAGGATGCTGCATCAGACCCTTGCCCCATTCCAGCCCCACCTGGGACAGGCCAGGCCACTTCAGCAGATTCATCTTCCCCACCTTAAGCAACCCCCACATGTGGGCAGAGTGTCTGGAAACATCACAGGAGGATCAGTAGAGTGTTCTGGAGGAGACAGAGCCAGGAGGGCTCCCTCAGCCCTGACACGATGCTGGGCTACCAGCAGGAGCGTATGCAGGGCAAGGGGGAGAGGGAATATGTAAATCCACAAAATACAGCTGCTCATCTGCTCTTCACTTGGCACCACAGTTAATCACTCGGAAACCCCGATCGGGCCATTAACGTGGCCACCCAAGTGTGAAATTGGCTGCACAGCAGCTCCCTTGCCTCCCTTTGGCTGGTTGGCTCCTGCCTGGAGCTGAGAGCAGGCCTGGAGCCGCCCAGCCCTGCATGCCCTTCCCTGTGCCTGGAGCCACCTGGCCTCATGTGCCCTTCCCTGTGCCCTTCCCTGCACCCAGAACCACCTGGCCCACCATGCCCTTCCCTGTGCCCAGAACCACCTGGCCCACCATGCCCTTCCCTGTGCCCAGAACCACCTGGCCTCATGCGCCCTTCCCTGTGCCTGGAGCCACCTGGCCCACCGTGCCCTTCCCTGTGCCATTCCTCCTCCCGCGGCCCCGTTCATCAGGTGAGCCCTCCCTCCTCCCCACAGGGCAGATGTGCTCTGCCGAGGCAGGACACAGCCAGGGCAGCAGCAGCTGTCGGAAGCAGAAGGTGCTCAGCTCCCCAGGGCCCTTCCAGCACAGCAAGCCCTGACACAGTTCCTCCCCACGGCAGTGCCAGCGGCGTGTCCCAAAGGCGCGCTCGCGGCTGGCGCTGCTGGCACACGGGGAGCACAGCGCTGCCTCCTGCTGCAGCCAGCCCTGCAGCCCAGCCCTGCTGCAGCCAGCCCTGCAGCCCAGCCCTGCTGCAGCCAGCCCTGCAGCCCAGCCCTGCTGCAGCCAGCCCTGCAGCCCAGCCCTGCTGCAGCCAGCCCTGCAGCCCAGCCCTGCTGCAGCCAGCCCTGCAGCCCAGCCCTGCTGCAGCCAGCCCTGCAGCCTCAGCCCTGCTGGCACGGACCAGCCCCTGCTCACCCAGCTCACCCTCGTCACTGGTGTGCGGCTCTGTCCCGTTGTCGTGGTCCACCTCATCGATGGTGCCCGGCTCGCTGTGCGGGCTGTCACTGCAGAGGAACACACAGGCTGTCACACAGCAAGTGGCACCGCTCCCAATGCACCCAGCACACCTAATGCTGCCCAGGGAGGGGTGGAGTGCCCACCTCTGGGGTGTACCACAACACCTGGATGTGTCTAGGCAACAGGCTGGTGTCAAAGGTTGGACTCAGTCTTGGAGGTCTTTGCCAACCTAACTAATTCTGTGATTTGTGATTCTCTGATTTCAAATCACAGCAGACCCCTGAACTTGCTGAGAACTGCAGACACTCACACCACAATCACCAGGCCCAGAATGTCACGTTCTGTTGGCTCCTGTGTCTTTAGTAGAGCTTGGCAAAACTAACACAAAGTGACACCAAGTTAAATGTCCATTCCCTAATTCACAGTGAGCTTCACCTTTAGCTGCTCTGCTGCACCAGGAAGGATGGTGGCAGGTGACTAGTATGAGGCATGGTGATATCTCAGAAATGTACAAAACTGGTAGAAAATCAGGTCAAGTATGTCATTGATCCTGGTTTGTTAAACCCAGACCTAAACGTTGGGTTAGAATTCCAGCAACAGAACTAAAGGTTTGGGTTAACCTCGGGCCAAGGGATTTCATCCAACCAGCAAATTATAATGAAACTATGGGTCTTTACTCAAAATTTCCAGCCTAGGAGAAATTTGGATACAATTTACCTAAAATTCTGTTTTGCTGAACAGGCTTCTGTGGATATGCAGCTCAAAAAAAAATCTTCAGTATTAGTACTTGCCCCAGAAAAAGTTTCTTCTTTTTACTGTTGTTTTTTACTGAAGTTTAAAATATTGAATCAGCACAAGGAAATGAAATGCCTGTTTTGACTGGTAAGACTAAATTAAATGGTTGAGTGTGCAAGAGCCTCCTGGCCTGCTGAAGGTGTTTGTACCCAGGAGCCCTGCAGAGAGCTCACCAGTACTCCTCCCCTCCGGTCATGCACTTCTCGTAGACAGGCCCCTCCAGCTCCCGGTGGCTGGGGAAGATGCCCTCGTGGTGGATGATGATGGTTTTGATGACCTCATTGACATGGGCCTGGCAGGACACCGGATCCTGCCCGTCGGGAATGTGCATCAGCGTGGGCCCGAAGCAGATGGCCAGGTTGTAGGGATCCATCATGTTCTCATCGCTGTACTGTGACAAGCTGCAAGCACACAGGGAGGAGCTGCCGTGCCGTGCTCCTGCTCTGGGAATCCTCCCAGCAGAGCCCACAGCCCTGGCACCGAGCTGTGCCCTCCTGGCACGCAGCCAGGGCCAGCAGCGCCGGGAAGGAGCCATGCACAGCTCCCCATGGCAACAGCACAAGGGACTCCTGCCCCAAAGACCGGGGAGCCCTGGCAAAAGGGACAGCAAGGAGGAACTTGCTGAAGCAGGAAAACACTCACTGGTTAAGGAATGCAAAGAGGTATCTCATGACCACGATGACAGCCCGAGGCAGAGTGACAATGATCTGCTGGATCTGGTGCACTCTCTCTGCAGGGTTCTCAATTTCTGCAACACACGGATAGAAAGCATATCTTTAAAAACCTTTTCAGGACCAGACAGCTCAGCATCAAGGGACTTGTTCCAGATCTAGTGGCCCAGTAAGTGAAGAAAACAAAGCCTGTCTCCAGAGGTCATCCTTAGTCTGGTACTAAGGTGCAGGAAGAGAATGGGGGACACTGCTCCTCCAGCAGGGAATTTCTATGTTCAGATGCAGTATGAACAGCAAATAAAGACATTTCCATAGGTTTATTTTTAAAATAAATGTTTATGCATTATTCATTTCATTCCTCAACAACTCCTCTGTTCCTCAAAAGCCTGAGTCAATGTGGCACTGAAAACAGAGCACTGCTTGATTTTCTAGGGCAGATTTTTAAATGAGGTTTTTATTCAGGTTACTCTTCTGGGTCATGCATTGGATCCTTCTGAGCCCTTCCGCTCCTGTCTCCTACTGCTCTGAATAGGAATTAGAAACTCCCAGGAAACAGGTTAGCTGGACCAGTGCTGAGTCAGTGCTTTAGACCCACTGCTCTCCACTCCAGAGGGGTGCAGAGCCCGGAGCTGCCCCCAGACACCTGCTCCTGCCAAGGGAGGGGGCTGACTCAGGGCTGCCCTGCCCTGGGCTATCCCTGTGCTCTCCAGAGTTAATCCTGTGGCTGCTGTTTCACAGGAAGCAGAGGACAAGCACCAGAGCTTTTCTGGAGCAGGCGGGTCACACAGCAGTGCTCGTTCTGGCTCAAGCTATGCCATTTGCTAGTCACAATAAAGTTCACTGACAGCATGTCAGTGGCAGCTAGGCTGCCATTTAATCTAAATTCTGAGCAAAATCTGGCCTCAATACCAAGAAGGAAAGCTTTGTAGTATTTCACATGGGGAACTTTTCCATTTGATTTATCCCATTATTGCCTGCTGGATTCTCTACTTCTTCAGTTTGGTTTTACAAAAGAGGCTATTGCTTTTAAAAAACCCAACTAAATATGAACTGGATACAACCCTATGACAATAGATATCTGTTCTGACACCCAGAGGAACAAACTCTCAAATCGCTTGCCTTTCTCCCAGAAATGTTTCAACTGGGCATATGGAATTAAGAGGGCACCAATCACCACTGCACACACAAGGACAGCCCCATGTGGACTCTGGGAACTGCCTTTTGACCTGAGTATTGCCCTTGTGCCTTTGAGGAGCCTCCACATAAACCCCCAGCCCTCCAAGAGCAAAAGGAAATGTTTTTCACTCTGCTTAGGCTGGGACACCAAGTGTGCAGGCTATGTTTATGTGTGTTTGTGTGGCACAGACAGCTGCACTTCAGGTCAGACTTTTAACAAGAATAAGGCACTTGAATTTACTTAAAATCTATCCTTAATCAAAAAGTTGCAAGAGCAGCAGGAAGAGAAAGATGAGGAAAAGGAAGATTCTTGTTAAAATGGGAAAAATAAAGAGAGAGAATAAGAGAATAACACCCAGAAAATTAACAGATGATGTTTGCAAAAAAAATTCCAAAAGCTTAATAAATAGTGCAAATTTGCATTAATTAGGGATGGTGCCAAACACAAGCCTATCTGCAAGCACACAGGCAGCACCAGGCACATTCTGGCACCAGAGGGGACCCATCCCCTTCTCCCAGGCTGTGCCCTCAGGCTTCCAGCTCTGCAGCCCCCGTGGAGGGCAGCCAGAGAAAGCACAAGCCAAACTGCAAACCCTGTCCAGGCATGAGCTGGTGCAGAACCACCTTCCTTTATCTGTGTGCTGTGCTGCTTTACACATCAAAACTGAATAGCAACAGTCAATGTCCTAAAGCTACTACATAAAACAACTGCTCTTGAGAAATCAGAAGGCATTCCTCTGCCCTGGTACAAGCCCATCGCTGTGCCAGTGCCCTCCAGGTATCACCTGTCTCCCTCAGCATCACCAGAGCCCCAGCAGTTATGAACAGGCACGTTCAGAAGGGGGACAGCACCACGGGCAGTGAAGCCCACAGAGGGCCTTGAGCAGACGTTCCCCCGTTGGTGCCCCTACAGCTGAGAGATGCCAACACCTCTCCTGTAACATAAAATCACCCTGCAGCCAAAATGGGCAGCACTTCCACCACCTCTCAGACTTCAAGGTCATTGTGCCTCCTTCGTTCCCCCCAGAGAAGCAATGTCCCCTCTCCCTCCCAGCAGTGCACACTCCTGACATCCTTTCCAGCAAGTGCCATTGCCCACCTGCCTCCCTCCTCAGCAGAAAGCCCTGGCTGCACACTCAGCTGCACCTGCCCCCAGTTAGTGCTTCTCTCATCCCACCCAGCTCCCGAAGAGCTGTCACATGTACTTACTTATAGTAGATATCAAATCTTGAAACCTTTCCTTAGGAAAGAGGGGGTTTTCCAGTCCTCGGAAATACAGCTTCAAGACTCCAGCCACTGAGTTAATGTCCCGCTCGTTCTGGTCATCAGCAAGGGGGTCTTCACCTGCCCAGAGAAAGGTTTGATATCCAGCATCACCATCAAGCAGCACTAGCACAAGAGGTTTTCCTCATTCAGTGGAACACCCAAACTTTCCAGGGCTCAGAAACCCTCCTCATGTGCAATGGCAATGCTGATTTTTCCTGAAAACCAGTTTTACTGGGGGATTTCAAACTTTTCCTGAGAACAAGGATGATATTGGTTGTTTCTCCTTACTGTTTCCAGCTCAGTGCATTCCTTCATTTACAGCACCAGCCCGGAAAGCTGAGGAGGTCTGAACGACACTGAGTGAGAGGCTGAGAGGACAGGCTTGGCTGGAGGATACAATCACACCTCTGGAATGGACCCAACGGCTCTGGATAGTTTTGTGCTGACTTAAATCTGTGAAAGGCTTTCAGTGCCCCTGAGATTTGGGTACTAATTCATCCTAAATTGGATGTGCAAATCCTCCAGCCTTTGACAATCCTAACACTGCCTTATCCATTGGCCCATCCACCTCCATCCTGATCCTTCCAACACTGCTCAAGGATTAAGGGTCACCACTCCCAGCAGGACTGTCCCTGTCACAGCTCCCCTGCACTCAGGACAGCAGGGCTGCTTTCCCTTTCTCACTGGCCTGGCATCCTGAGCGTGATTTTCTCAGCAGATTCACTGGCACCTCCTCAGCCAGCAGTGGCAGCAGGTACAGGGAATGCTGCACCTCCCTTGGCAAACTGCTGCAGGAAGGATGAAAAGGTCCCCAGCAAACTCTTTCATGGCTCTTGTGTTTTTAACGACTGTGGAAAAGACCTCTCCATGTACCCCTACTTCTCATACTCCTTCTCTGGGTAACTCTTCACTACAGGCAGAGACACAGCACTGGGAAACCCAGAAGGGATAAAACCTGCTCATGTCTCATAGCACAAAGGGCTTTAACACAGGCTTTACACCTGGCTAATGCACCCAGCACACACCACCTCCCACCAGGATGCTCCAGGCAGGGCATCCTGCTGTAGCTGCACACCCAGCCACACACCTCTCTCAAACGAGTTCTTGATGTCGTTGACTTCCACCTGGGAGCCAGGGACTCTGAAGATGCCCTGCTGCTGGAGGCCTGGAAGAGAACAACGCTTTAGGAGAGATTTCTGGAACTGTGGGGCAACACCTGCAGGTTAAAACAGCAGAACCCAGGGGCTGATGCACCAGACAGGCTTGGAGCAAGCAGGGACAGCCTGCTGCACCTCACTTGTGCTCATATCCTCCAGATCAAGGTGTGAAAGGGCTCATGGCTGAGCAAACAACTGAACCTGGGCACGTGCTCACTGGTGGCCAGCCAGCCAATGCTGTGGGAATTCCAAGTGAGCCATGGAGAACAGGCAGGCAGCCCTGGGAACCCCTGCAGGCTCCCACTGCTCACTCAAGTCCTTTCCTCCTGGGCAGGTTCTGGGGCCACACTGAGCCAACTTACCATACAGATTGATGTAGCGGATGCAGCTTTCTACAACAAGTGGAATGGCCTGTCCTGAATCCTTCAGGAAAGGAAAGGAGAAGAGAAACATTTACTGGTTTATTGCTAACAAAGCATGGGAAATGCACTAAAGATTGCAAAAACAGAGATTTGAAAATTAATGCTGTGGAGTTTAGTAAGAGGACAGGCAGGAAAGGAGGTGTTACAAACATGGAGCCATCAAAGAGTGCTGAGGATACTGTGCACAGCCAAAAATGCCCAAGAAAGCTGTCACTAAGGTGTGTGAAATGTTGCTGCTCCCTGTCTGGCTCAAACAGGAGACTGCCACGAGGGATCACAGCTATTCCACCCCACAGGTGGAATGCTGAGCTGAAACAAAAAGTGTGCTATACCTGGCTGATGGAATAAGCTTCCCATAACACAGCTTACAACAATATTTCCACTAAAGGAAAGAGCCATTGTCAGCAGGTGCTAAAAAACCCAACAAACACCACTGGGTATGGAACCAAGTGCCTGAGTCTGAGCCACTGGCGAATTCTGGCTTCTGCCCAGGGCCCTTGTGGCAGAAGCTCAAGGGGACCAGGGGCCATGTCTGACAGCCCAAGTGGACACATTTCTCTTTGGGATTCTAGTAGTTTTTCCAGCAGAGCACAGTACATCTCTGGCCAATTCCCTCTGTCTCACAGATGGGTCTCCAGTAAGTACCTGATTCCTCGTTCGTGCATTCCTCCTTCCTCTGAGCACAAAAAAAGCAGCAGAGTGGAAAAAAGAGAACAGATTAAGCAGGAATAAGTTCAGTTAGAGGTAAGCATCTCCTTCGGAGGCCATGAATGCTCAAATGCAATGGCAGCTTAGCAAGGGCCAACACAGGCCTTTGGGATGCCCACCCTCCCTCCCAGAGCCCTTGGGCACGCTGCAGCCCAGCCTCAGCGACCTGCAGGGACAGCCTCTTGGATTTCCTCCTGCCTCAACCTGGGCCCTTCCCAGGAGCCTGGGCACAGGGACAGACTGGCCTGGGGAACAGGCAATGCTCTGAGGGGGCACTCAGCAGCCATGGGGGCACTGGTGACCAGGGGACATCTGGGCAGCAGCCAATGGCCCAGCTGCCTGTGAGGCTGTGCACCCCAAGGGCAGGCAGCTGTCCCCAAAGGGTCTCTGCTAGCACGGGTCACTCCTGCTCAGATGGATTTCTAGAGCAGGTAATTCCTCCTTCTCAGTGCTGAACCAGCTGGGATTTAATGAGCATTACTTTTTTAAAAGCCAGTTTAAGTCAGGAGTAATCACAAATCCTAACGGGATTACAGGCTTTGCCAGCAGGGCCAGTACTCCCCGTGCTGGTGCTGTGTACAGACACTGCCCTCGGGCTTAGGGCTGAGCTTGAGGCAATAAACCCCAGCCAGATGATGCCTATTAGTCACCTAATCCAACAGTTTGTCTCTACAGCTTCCCAAAGTGTTTCCCCTGAAGCTTTCTCCAGAGCAGGATTACGGACACCACTGCCAGCAGCTGGCAGGGCTGAGCCAGCTGGGCTGGCTGTTATTGATGGATTTGTGTGTAAGGCTGAGGTCACCTGTGTGCCCTCCAACATGGACAGCCCACAACAGGATTTCTACCCCAGGCTGACAGTCCTTGAAAGTGGGAAACACTTTCTGGGGTCATTTTATCTTCCTTCTCAGCCACAAGGATGGATGACCACCAAAAACAGGAAGGGGGGTGTATGTTGCTCCTTGGAGAGCCAGGCTGAGCTGGTGTAATCTTTCTTCCCAGGATGGGTAGAAGCAGCAGGACAATGAGGACACTCAGCCAGGACTGCCTCATAGTGCACATGGCCACCAGCCATGGGTGGGGTCTGGAGCACGCAGCTGATGGGACAGGAACACCAGGAATGCACGAGGGGAGCCATGGAGAGAAATCATCACCGAGGCAAAGCCGTGCTGGCCACGCCAGCTGGGTGCAGATGGGCCAGAGGGACCCCCTGAGGATGGCAAGCAGCCAGGACAGGAAAGCCACCATTCCATTCCCAGCGTTCACAGACACTCCTACTGCAAGCCAGCAAGTACCTTAATGAATGTTTCCATATTGCCGTTAAAGAGTTTATGATTATACACTGAGAGAGGCCTAGGTCTCCTCATTTTCTGTGGCTTAGGGGGAAGACATGGGGGCCTGGGAGAAAATGGAACAAAATAAATCAACAAAACACCAACATAAATGCAAAGACAGGGTGAGATCTCACAGGTTATAACTGAGAATAAGAAACCAAACAGAAAAGTCCCTCTGTGAGGATTCGTGTGGCTCCACGCACCCTGCAGCCACTGACACTGGCTGTCCCACACAGACACCACTCCAGCAGGAACCAACAGCATTGGTGGCCAGCTGGATCTAACACCTGCCTCCCACCTCAGCCTGAAGAGGCACCAAGAGCAGCTGAGGAGATACAGCCAAAATAAACCACAGCTACCCCAGAAAACGCTGGGGTATTCCTGCTTGCTCCTAAACAGATTTCACTCTGCTCACAGGGAGAGGCCAGAATGAGGACAGTGGGAACACCTCCACTGTGCTGTGTCTAACTTCTCTTTGGAACCCCAGGGATGGGGACGACCCTGCCACTGCTAGTGACCAAGAGGGCAGGGAAGCCTGTGACAGGTTTCAGTGCAGTACTGAGGACACTGGAGTGCCACTTGCATTAATGCTGTTCCCAGCCCAATTCCTCTGGATAATCAAGGACATTCGGTGTCTAGCTCTAGAAAAAGGAGAAAAACACCACAAAATCCCAAACAGATTTCTGCCCTGCCCTCCGGCCCAGGCTGTTCTGATGTGTGCAGGGGAGAGAACACGACTGCAAACACACACCAAACTGGGTGCTGGGAGCCTTCATGCAGGAGATCTCATGGAACAGACATGGACACTTTACACAGAGCTCAGTGCAAAGGGGACAGCACGGTTCCTTAATCAGATGCCTCTAATTAAGCAACTTGACTATACAACACTCCTACAGCTTCCAGGCACTCCTTTGGTGGGTAACAGAGGAGCAGAGGTGCAGCTGCCCATTGGGAGAGCCCTGCCCACACTGCAGGGACTGTGCCTGCAGCCCCAGCCAGGGCCCTGCACTCACGGCCGGGCCCCAGGGCCATGTCAGCTCCTCAGAGTGGCACACTGCACAGCCCCTGCTCTCTGAAGGGCCCTCTCTGTCCTGACAGCACCCCGTGCCCCGCTGGGTGCCCGGCCCTGGCACCACTCGGGCTGGTGCTGCCAGCACAAGGAGCCTCCTTCCTGCCTGGCACGGCAGCCAGGCTGCACCATCTGCTTCACCACTTCTAGCAGGGAACGGACCTTTGGTGGCTGGTACTGTAAATTGGATTAAACACAAACAAGGCTGGAACAAGCTGACACACAGGGAGGCCGTGCATGTCCTAGGGAGCTGTTTGGAGGCTTTGCTGGCCTGTGTCTCGCTGTCAACACCAGCACACTCCTAGCAAGCCACTGGAGCTCTGCAGAGATGCTTCATGGACTGGACAGGGATCAAAGCCTCCCCTCTGTCACATCTGCCCCAGCCCTACCTCCTGCAGCAGAGGGATGAAGTCTGTGATACAGGCATGCTCTGCACTCACAGGTAAAGCAGCCAGAGCTGGGAGAGGATTTCAGGGCTGTATTAAAGTCCTCAAAGGAAGAGGGATGGCAGGGAGCGAGGGGACACCTTTGTGTCACCCTGTCTGAACACAACCCCACCTCAGCTATGCTCCAGAGCATTGCACTGAAAGCACATCCAGGCACATCAGAGCCAGCCAGCCAGAAACCAAGGGCTGCTTCCATCCCCTGACCCCAGCACTGCAGGCCATGCAGCTGGGAAGCAGCATGGGGGCACAGGGACTGCCAGCCTGCCAGCACAGGGCTGGGGGTGGGTAACTGAGCCCCACCAAGCTGCACCAGTAGCCAAGCAAGCCCCCCTTCCCACAGCCCCTCCTGCCGGCGCCAGCCCTCCCCAGGAGCAGTAAGGGGAAGGAAGTGCTCACCTGGTTGTTCCACACTCAGCTCTTTCACCTGCAAGAAACACAAGTTCCCATCATCCCTCCACATCAGCCACCAGCAAAGGACTGCAGAGCACAGCTGCACAGGAGCTCACACCCTCACTGCTGGCTCCTACACCCCAAGGAATGGCTTCCAGCAGAGAGAAGCTGCATTTGGGGAGGAGAGATGCCCACCTGTGCCCCCACCATTAAAAGACAGAAATCTGGAGGGAGAAGAGTGAGAGGAAGGAAAGAGGCAGAGGGTGGGAGTGAGTGGCAATCTCTGCTGCTGGAGAGGTAACCCAGCACTTCAGCACACAGTTTCAGATTCAAAGAGATTTCTCTGTGTGCACTCCCAAAGAAAAGTGGGGGGAGTAATTCAAGGAAATCATGGTTTTGTATGCCACTGGTTAGGCTGAGCAGCAGCCAGGCACAGAACCCTCAGTCACTCAGGAGAACACACACAGGGAAGGCTGGCAGATGGCACGTGGTTTAACCCTCTCAGGTGACGGGAGGATCCTCCCTGGACCTGACCCCAACTCACCTTCTCCCAGAGTTTGCTTCAGCAGGTCATGTTTAGCCTGGAGCTTCGTGATGAGGTTACTGCCATTCAGATACTCCTTAAATTTCTGGAATTAAAGAACAAACGAGTGGATTAAGCACCACAGCCCCTAATGGAGCTCGCTGCTGCCCAGGGCTCAGGAGGCTGCAGGCTGGGCCAGCTGCACCGCAGGGCTCAGCAGGCTCTGATCACTTCTCCCTGCTCCAGCCACTGCCCTGATGCTCTTATTAGCCTGGTCTCCTTGGAGCTGCCCCTCCTGCTCGGGAACGCAGGGAGGGACAGAGTTCAAAGCTGGCTTTCTTTTGTCAGGCTTCTGGGAACTGCCTAGGAAATCAAAGCAGCTTTCCCTGCACTGCCAAGGCTTCGCCTCTGTGCAAACCAACAGTGCCAAGCAAGAACTCCCAGTGCCTGAGCCCTCGCAGGCAGGGACTGCCAGGTGCCCCATGCAGCTGGTGACACTGTGCAGAACAACTGCCACCCCCAGTGAGGCTGTCAGACACCAGAACACTCTGAGCAAGGCATTACACAGGTAAGAGGACAGAGGGAGACACGAGATGGAAAATGGAAGACGGAGAATGGGAAAGATCAAATCTCTGCAGAAACCATTAAAGTAATCTCAAGCACAATTCCAAATGAAAATCACAATTTCCCCCCTATTTACAATAATATTACTAAGAGAAAGGAGAAGCTCTGAGCCTCTCGTACTCCACTCAGTAGGTTTTGAATCTCATCTGGCTGCTCCAGTTGTTCCTTCAAAGTAAAAAACAAGGCAGGCACTGGATTGTCAGTCCCTCTGTAGTGCCCTGCCACTGAAATGCATTCCAGACCCAAATCTGACAGAAGACAAGTACTTAAAGAGACTGAATTGGTTCTTGCTCTTCACTAATGAGCACTTAACTGGGCCTCAGCCCTGGTAATTAATGCTTCGTGTCCTGTATGCCCGAGCTGAGACTCACAGTGAAATAGAACATTTCAGTCTCCTGCTGGTTGGCTCTCCTCTTGGCAATGTTGATTTTGCTCATGTAGGTCTCTGATGCAGCTGATTTGACTGACTCAGTGGAGCGGCTGTGCTGGAAGGCATCTGAAACATCAAAGTCTTCCACTGTCAGCATGTCCTGCAAGGTCTGCATCGTGGCATCCAGCGTTTTCCGTACCTATCAGAAACAGGACAGCGTGGGTTTGAGGCAGACTGGGAAAAGGACACTTCTTGAGCCAAAACAACCACTCAACAGGAGGCTCTGAGCCCTGGGCTAGCACTGGCTGCAGTCTGTGGGCACTTCTGCCACAGGAGGGGCTCCACACCTGAGCACACCAGGAAACCTCCAGTGAAAGAAAGGCTCAGCAGTGCTGCCCACAGACCCCACCACTTCTAGCAGGGAACGGACCTTTGGTGGCTGGTACTGTAAATTGGATTAAACACAAACAAGGCTGGAACAAGCTGACACACAGGGAGCCCGTGCATGTCCTAGGGAGCTGTTTGGAGGCTTTGCTGGCCTGTGTCTCGCTGTCAACACCAGCACACTCCTAGCAAGCCACTGGAGCTCTGCGGAGATGCTTCATGGACTGGACAGGGATCAAAGCCTCCCCTCTGTCACATCTGCCCCAGCCCTACCTCCTGCAGCAGAGGGATGAAGTCTGTGATACAGGCATGCTCTGCACTCACAGGTAAAGCAGCCAGAGCTGGGAGAGGATTTCAGGGCTGTATTAAAGTCCTCAAAGGAAGAGGGATGGCAGGGAGCGAGTGGACACCTTTGTGTCACCCTGTCTGAACACAACCCCACCTCAGCTACACTCCAGAGCATTGCTGACAAAGCACATCCAGGCACATCAGAGCCAGCCAGCCAGAAACCAAGGGCTGCTTCCATCCCCTGACCCCAGCACTGCAGGCCATGCAGCTGGGAAGCAGCATGGGGGCACAGGGACTGCCAGCCTGCCAGCACAGGGCTGGGGGTGGGTAACTGAGCCCCACCAAGCTGCACCAGTAGCCAAGCAAGCCCCCCTTCCCACAGCCCCTCCTGCCGGCGCCAGCCCTCCCCAGGAGCAGTAAGGGGAAGGAAGTGCTCACCTGGTTGTTCCACACTCAGCTCTTTCACCTGCAAGAAACACAAGTTCCCATCATCCCTCCACATCAGCCACCAGCAAAGGACTGCAGAGCACAGCTGCACAGGAGCTCACACCCTCACTGCTGGCTCCTACACCCCAAGGAATGGCTTCCAGCAGAGAGAAGCTGCATTGGGGGAGGAGAGATGCCCACCTGGTGCCCCCACCATTAAAAGACAGATTAGAAATCTGGAGGGAGAAGAGCGAGAGGAAGGAAAGAGGCAGAGGGTGGGAGTGAGTGGCAATCTCTGCTGCTGGAGAGGTAACCCAGCACTTCAGCACACAGTTTCAGATTCAAAGAGATTTCTCTGTGTGCACTCCCAAAGAAAAGTGGGGGGAGTAATTCAAGGAAATCATGGTTTTGTATGCCACTGGTTAGGCTGAGCAGCAGCCAGGCACAGAACCCTCAGTCACTCAGGAGAACACACACAGGGAAGGCTGGCAGATGGCACGTGGTTTAACCCTCTCAGGTGACGGGAGGATCCTCCCTGGACCTGACCCCAACTCACCTTCTCCCAGAGTTTGCTTCAGCAGGTCATGTTTAGCCTGGAGCTTCGTGATGAGGTTACTGCCATTCAGATACTCCTTAAATTTCTGGAATTAAAGAACAAACGAGTGGATTAAGCACCACAGCCCCTAATGGAGCTCGCTGCTGCCCAGGGCTCAGGAGGCTGCAGGCTGGGCCAGCTGCACCGCAGGGCTCAGCAGGCTCTGATCACTTCTCCCTGCTCCAGCCACTGCCCTGATGCTCTTATTAGCCTGGTCTCCTTGGAGCTGCCCCTCCTGCTCGGGAACGCAGGGAGGGACAGAGTTCAAAGCTGGCTTTCTTTTGTCAGGCTTCTGGGAACTGCCTAGGAAATCAAAGCAGCTTTCCCTGCACTGCCAAGGCTTCGCCTCTGTGCAAACCAACAGTGCCAAGCAAGAACCCCCAGTGCCTGAGCCCTTGCAGGCAGGGACTGCCAGGTGCCCCATGCAGCTGGTGACACTGTGCAGAACAACTGCCACCCCCAGTGAGGCTGTCAGACACCAGAACACTCTGAGCAAGGCATTACACAGGTAAGAGGACAGAGGGAGACACGAGATGGAAAATGGAAGACGGAGAATGGGAAAGATCAAATCTCTGCAGAAACCATTAAAGTAATCTCAAGCACAATTCCAAATGAAAATCACAATTTCCCCCCTATTTACAATAATATTACTAAGAGAAAGGAGAAGCTCTGAGCCTCTCGTACTCCACTCAGTAGGTTTTGAATCTCATCTGGCTGCTCCAGTTGTTCCTTCAAAGTAAAAAACAAGGCAGGCACTGGATTGTCAGTCCCTCTGTAGTGCCCTGCCACTGAAATGCATTCCAGACCCAAATCTGACAGAAGACAAGTACTTAAAGAGACTGAATTGGTTCTTGCTCTTCACTAATGAGCACTTAACTGGGCCTCAGCCCTGGTAATTAATGCTTCGTGTCCTGTATGCCTGAGCTGAGACTCACAGTGAAATAGAACATTTCAGTCTCCTGCTGGTTGGCTCTCCTCTTGGCAATGTTGATTTTGCTCATGTAGGTCTCTGATGCAGCTGATTTGACTGACTCAGTGGAGCGGCTGTGCTGGAAGGCATCTGAAACATCAAAGTCTTCCACTGTCAGCATGTCCTGCAAGGTCTGCATCGTGGCATCCAGCGTTTTCCGTACCTATCAGAAACAGGACAGCGTGGGTTTGAGGCAGACTGGGAAAAGGACACTTCTTGAGCCAAAACAACCACTCAACAGGAGACTCTGAGCCCTGGGCTAGCACTGGCTGCAGTCTGTGGGCATTTCTGCCACAGGAGGGGCTCCACACCTGAGCACACCAGGAAACCTCCAGTGAAAGAAAGGCTCAGCAGTGCTGCCCACAGACCCCAGCTCTTACCTCTTCATTCTCTATCTTGAGGGTGGCCAGCCGAGACTGCAGCTGGTGGTACCGCATCAGCAGCTCGGTCTGCACAGGCTGCTGGGCGCTCACCTGGCACACCTGAGACAGGAGACATTCCACGGGTCATGCATGGCCCAGACACACCTTTCCATACCCTCACAATTCCCTCCAGCCCCCACAAGCTCCTGGCAGCCTCCAGAGAGGCTGTGTTGCCATGTGTCCCATGAGCAGTGCCCTGGACCCAGGCCAGCACCGAGTGTTTCTGCCATCTCCCAATTACAGCAGGTTAATCACAGCTCCCCTGTGCAGATCTGTGGGGCAGAGAGAGCCAAACCACGGGCTCCCTAATTGGGGCAGAAATGGAGCAGGAGGCAGCCTGAAAGGAGGAGCCCTAACGAGCCAAGAGTCTCATTAGGAAAGGAAACACGAACAGCAGTGTGTGAAGGCAGCAGAGAGGGGCGAGGAGTCCGGAACAATTTCACAGTGATGGTTCAGAGGAGGGCAGGGCCGCTCTGCAGCCCCACAGGTGAGCACGTTACCTCGTCCCCCATGTGCGGCTGGAACTCGAACTTGAGCGGCGGGCAGAAGACCTGGTTGCACATGTCCATGATGGTGTGCTTGTCGCTGCGCGCGTCCAGGTTGTCCACGGCGTTCTCGATGACGTCCAGCCCCTCGTGGCGCGACGTCTCCAGGTTGTACTCAGCAGACAGGTACGTCCTGAAGGTGCGAGCCAGGCTGGCGTGGAACCCCAGATCACAGCACTGAGAAACACCAGGAGGCTCTGGTCACACAAACACTGCCAGGCCATTCTGCAAGGCTCTCAAACACAGATGGGCGTTGAAGCAAGGCGTGGCAGTGGACACCATGCCCTGTGGTGTGTGTGCACATCCTGCTCTGTCCCTGGGCAGCTGCCTGCCTCCCACCATGGAGCAGTTCCTCATGCTGCTCATCACTCTCATGTCTGTCTTAGGGAAAATTATAAAACTTGGATTTAATTGCTGCCAAAATACTGTACTTCAGACAAAAAACTGCTTTTAAACGTTGTCCCCACTATAACTGAATTTGGCGTGTCAAGTGTCATACCAGCACAGGGATTTGCAGCCCTGAAAGCTCCACCCGAGCTGAGCAAGTCCATCCTTTGACCAATCCCCACCTTGTCACCCAGCCCAGAGCACTAACTGCCATGCCCAGCTACTCCTTGAACACCTCCAGGGATGGAAAATCCACCACTTCCCTGGGCAGCCCCTTCCAGTGTCTGACAACCCTTTCCATGAAGAAACACTTCCTGAACTTCATACTGATAAACTCGAAGTGAAACCCAAAACCTCAGCAGGTGCCACACGCAGCTCTGACCCAAGAAGCCGTCTCACGCTCGGTGCCGGTGTGAGGTGACACATCAGATCACATCACAGCAGGGCTGTGCTTGCTTCAGCCTCTGCTAAAACCAGCAGCAGCAAAGCTACCCTGCACTGATTCCCAGCCCCACTGTCCCTCCTAGCCTTTAAAACCGGTGAAAACTCATGCGCAACAATGAGCAGTTCTGTAAAAACTATCAAATTGTCACAGCCCTCCATTTATCCTGCTTCTATTCAGCTTCTAATCACATTAACTGAGAGTATGGGCAGTTATGAACTGGCACAGACCTGCCTTAAAAAAATCAACAAGCAACACAAAAAAGGGAAGGGGTGAATTTCCATTTGCTGCTTGGGGCAATCCTCATTCTGTGCCGCAAGTCTCTCCCAAGAGACAGTTTCAGCATGAACTCCCACACGACCACTCCAGGCTGCTGGAACCCCAGAGCTGGAGCAATGCAGCCGAGGGGCTGTACACAGACAGGGCAGGGACCAGGGCCAGGAGCCAGTGCCAGCACTGGGGGAGGAGCAGCACTCCTGCCCTGAGCAGCTGACCACAGCCCTGTGCCCTGGGAACGGACTGTGTGCTCCCCAGCACTGCCAGCCCTCACCGTGCTCCCCACCCCTGAAATCACAGCTACTTTGCTACAAAAAACAGTACCGGGGGAAATATCTGCCACTGCTCAAGGGTGGGAATTCCCAAAGCACACAAAACCCAGCCACTGCAAGGCAGAGCACTGAATGGAACCCAAGGAGAGGGCTCAGGGCATTGCCAGCTGCTTTTAGGACAAAATTCCACATGAAACGTTTCCCCTTTTTTGCTGCTGGACTCGCGCTGGAGCCGGCGGTGATTTGCAGTGCCCAGAAATCAGCTGCTCCTGAAAAGCAGGGCAGCACCTCCCGCACACACTGCAGCCCTTGAAGTCCCTGGTGATCAGCACCACGCCGGCTGCTTCACACACGGATGCCCAGAGAAGAAAAGACGGAGCAGGGATTTCCACACAATTCCCAGAGGAACACACAATGGGGAGGGGAGAAGAAAAAGGAAGGGAAAAAAAAGACTTCAAACCGATGATCCCAGCCCCAGAACAAATGGCATTTTCTCACCCCTCTCATCCCTTTGATGGCAAATAAATTAGAACCACAAATAATAATCCTGGCCCTTCCGCAGCGCCTTTCATCTGCCAAGCTCAGAGCTCCCCAAGCATTAATTCATCACGGCTGGTAACACCCTGCAAGGGGTGGAAATATCCCAGAGCTCAGCTTGAGAAACAAACCGGCTCCTGGAGCTCAAGCAAGCACATTTGGCCAAAACACCGTGGAAGCAGCCAAATAGCCGTGTGCCTCCCACTGCCCACCCCAGAGCTGCACGGGGGCAGTGCTGGGCCCCGGGAGAAGGAATGCACAGTGGTCTGAGGCTCCAGCAACTTCGAGTCCCTCTGTTACCTGGGAGGCTGAACCTGCACATGACAGAGCTCAGCCAGGCGGACCTGAGCAAGTGGAACCCTGGAGTGACACCTGAGCACCCTGCAAGCCACCCTTAACTTCCCAGGCAGAGCAGTAATGCCCCTGCCTCCACAGGACCAGCACTGCCTGCAAACAAAGAGCACAACTCATTTGCTCTGCTCTGTTCCCTCTTCTCTGCATTTTCTTCCTTATCCGTTTTCAAAGAATATTCTGCATTATTTTTAATTATATGCATAATACATAATAATTATATGCCTATTTAAATTTATGGCCTCTTCCCTCTTGACATTGCTGCAAAATCCGGAGCTGTACTGTGAGGCAAGTAAATCACAGAATCCCAGAATGGTTTATGTTGGGCTAAACCCTAAAGATTATCCAATTTCAACTACCCTGCCATGAACAGTGACACCTTCCATGAGCCCAGGTTGCTCCAAGCCCTGTTCAACCAGGCCAGTGAAGCCAGCTGAGGATTTTTGGCATAACTACTTCAGCTGCTGTTTCTGTTCCCTAACTTGACTCAGCTAATTTTTCCAGAGACCAAGCAATTTGACAGTTCCATGTAACACTGAATTTCCTCAGAGTTCCCCTCCTTTCCTGGCTTGTCTCAGATACAGCAATCACTAATCCATAGAGGAGCGAGTTGCTGTTCCAGGACCCAGAGGAGGCTGCACACGTTTTGGCAGATCAGTTTGCATGGACACCAACTGTTCCATTTTCTCTGCTGAATCTAGTGATAACTTTCATGTGACCACTTCAAACTATCTTGCAGCCATTTCTCACAGAACTCCAGAGGGATGGATAAGGAGCTTTATCTCCTCTTCGCATACGTGGCAAAAAGATTAACTTGGTCACACAGTTAATGACAGAAATGAGACAAACCCAGGCGCTTGAATAGACACACGTGTCACCCGAGGAGGAGGCCCCGTGGTGCACTGACAGTCCGAGGCTAATTTGATCTATCTCTGTATTCTTCCCTTCCTTTCCAGGACAAAACAACAAGGCCACTGGAGACAGAGGGGCAGACGGCTCCTCTGAGGGGCCTCACAGCTCTCATTAAGCCTCCCTCCCTCGGCAGCTGGGGCAGTGCCTCGCCAGAGCAGGAGAGCGGAGCACGGCTTTGTCACCAGCCACTGCTCCGCAGGGACGCCCAGGGAGCAAGTGGTGGCACGGCTGTGCCTGAGAGATGACACTGAGGCAGCCGGGATTTGGGGGAAACGCCGCTGAATTGGCTCTGCAGTGTCCTGACGGTTCAGATTTGTGTGAAATCAGCAGCTGCACGAGGCAATTTGTGCTGGAGATGGAGGCTGTGAGAGCCCTGTCGCCTCTCCTGTGTCCCAGAGAGCCAGCCCGGTGCATCCCTCGCCATTCCACGGTGGAGCGGGGTGGAGGGGCCAGCAGGAGCCACGGGAGCATGGGCAGCCAGGCTCAGCTCACCCACACTCTGCAGAGCTGCTCCCTCCACGGGCCCAGCTGCCCTGCACAGACCCCTCCAGCACCACTGGGATCCCGGGACTTGGATTCATTTCTTCTGGAGCTGCTGAAGCCCTTCTTGCCTCACCCTTGCAAGATACACTGAACTCGTAAAAAGGCCTGTCCAGATAAACTGCTCTCCTCTGAGGACATAGGACACCCATGCTCAGCTCACACATCCAGTATTTTGTTTCTTTGGTGAACAGACTTTATAATTGGGGAAATGTCATTGCTCCATGTTAAAGATGCTTCAGCTAAAGTCCCTGAAGGGATTCCTGGAATGTGGGAGAAATGCCATTTGCTGACTCCAGTGGAAGTGTCAGTGAGGAAATAAAAGTTGGGAAGAATAATATAAACAGACAGAGCTAAAATGGAACTCAGCAAGTCTCCAGAAAATCGAAGTCAAAAAACTCCACAAAACTAAGTCATTCTTGCTTAAAAAATAAGTTAACAAAAGAAAGATAGAATATGCACTGCAAAAGCAGAAAGCCTGCAGATAAATCAAGGTGTTCTCACACCTTGCCATTCAAGTGTCTCCACTTGTTTTTTAACACATCTTCAATAACAAAGAGAACAAAACATAATGAAGAGTATTTTATGATACATCAAAATCTTGAAGTCATCAGGGGATTTGCATCAGACTTACTTTAATTCTCAGAAGTGTAACTACATGCTAATGGGCCAGGAAAGGAGGTAAACACTCAAGCAGCTTTTTGAATTGCATATTTAGGTAATGGTGGTAACTCAGTGCTTCAAGCTCAGCTATTTATGCACTCACTGAGGCAACTCCAGCAGGAAGAAACTGCACTGTGCAATCTACACGCTGTGGGATGCCTGATAAAGGAAGAAGCAGAAATCCCTTCTCTGGGTAAATCCCTTCTTTGAATCATCTCAAAGCAATTTGTAGGAGTCACCAGTGTTCAGTTCCTGCCACTGCCATGAAGCTGCCTCCAGCAGTTCCTGCCCTGAGGCTACTCCCTGCAAGGAGCACTGGGACAAAGCTCCCAAGCCTTCCCCAGCCAGGACAGCACTGCCACTTGTGCTGAATCCCCACCAAAGTCACCGAGTAGTAGAGAGAAAAAACCCCTCTGGTTCAGCACCAAAACCAAAGCTGTGTCTGACCTGGGGAAGCATTTCTCTGTCTCAAACACAGACTAACCAAGGGGCCAAGAAGAAACCTCAGTCTCACCTGGCTCACCCCAAGGCAAACCCACCTCACAGGACACCTTCAGCCCAGTCAGGAGTACCCTAAAGCCCCCAGAGACACCCTGCAGCAGCAGGGGGGAGTGCAGGTAGGAGCTGAGGAGGCAGGCTGGCCCGGGGAGGCACTCACGTCGATGAGGTCGGAGACATCATGGATGTAGTACTTGCTGACGGCTGCGTTGGTGGCTGCCAGGTTCAGCAGGTAGTCATTCCTGGCTTTTGTACACTTCAGCTTGTTTTCAGAATACTTGGCTTGTCTCTGAAAAAGCAGAATGGAGGGTCAGAGCACAAACAGGATGGTATTGGCAGTTTCTCCTGTCACAGACCCCCACAGCACCCTGCAGCCTGGGTGTGATGAGGTAAGTACTAAAACTTGGTACCTGGTACAAAAACAGGGACCTTGCCAGGGTGGAGGAGATCCCACCTGAACACCCCTGGCACCGTCAGCCTGCCATGAGGAGTGCATCCTGCTCAGAGGTACTTGGAGCCCCTGAGCACAGCTGCTGCTGAGGATTTTGGCATCAGTCAAAAACAGAGGGCCAAATTTTCCCCCCAGAAATGCTGACATACGTTTGGACTTGCTCCAGATGTGTGCAGCTGTATCAAAGTGGAATCCTGCCCAGAGGCCCAAGCCACACAATTCAGAACAGGACCCAGAATTCAAAACTGTAGGAAAGCAGATGTGCTCCAGATCTGGGACATCTGCTCAGGCAGATCCCTGCTCTGAAGGCTGAATCAAAAGATTAACCCTTCCGAGAAGTTCACTGTTAGAAATGTCCCAGGGCTGGGTGAGCCAATGAGCAAATGCAGCCTTGGCTGGGGAACCATTTCCTTTTCTCCAAAATTAACACAAAAACTTGTGGAGATCCTGAGGTCACAGGGATTTGCTGATGCTAGAATGGCACGAAGGGTTTTGCCTAGTAAATCTATCTAAATACTGCACTCTCACTCCCAGACAGTCTACAGAGGAAGAACACTGGTATTTTATGAATCCAGCCCCTGCTGCCTGCAGGGAGCCCCAACCCCAGCCCAGCTCCCTCTTCCTTCCCTCTCACCCACCTTCTCTTTCATCTTCTCAATCTTCTTGACGGAGCTGCGCCGCTGAGGCCGGTCCTCATGCCGCAGCAGGTTCACACTGATGTCCCCTGACTTGTTGAACTGCTTTTCTTCCTGCTTCTCTGCCTCCTTCAGCTTGCTCTCGGCGCTGATGCTCTCTGCATGGTACATGTGGTAGGTCTTCATCACCTGCAGACACAGAGGCCATGAGCCACCTTCCCATGGTCACCCGCAGCACCGGAGCAGGGCAGGCCAGCAGCGCTGGGCAGGGCAGAGGGGGCACTGTGGCATTAAGGAACAGCATGGGGAGGAGAGCTTGAGAGATGAATGCCAGCCCTATTTCTAGAGGCTCCAGGCTGGTCTAAGAACTGTGATGACACTCAGCCCCACTGGGGGGACATGATCCAGCACACACCTGCAGTCAAAGAGCACCGAGTCTGCCAACAGGGAAATAAGGCACGACCTCAGAGCTCTGCAGCTGGGGTCAGGGTCTCCATGACAAGTGACTGTGAGGGAGGCCACAGTCACTCTGAGCTGCCTTTTGACCTGACCCCTCTGTTCCTACACTCGGACTTGCTAAGCCATCAGACAGCCCTTTCTCTCACCCAGACAGCAGAACCACCCAAAAGTGGAGTGGTTGTAATCCCCAGGCAGAAATGGGGTTTGTCTCCTGTCACCACCTCATCCCCCCTTGGTGCCACCAGCAAGCACAGGCAGTGCCAGGAGAGGTGCAGCAGCACCTTGTCCTTCACATTCCAGATCCAGGAGGGATGATGCTGATCCTGGAACACTCTACAGGCAAAACTTCCAGCACAACCTTCCCTTTCAGAAACAAGAGCCCAAAGGGCACACTGGCTCATTTCAACAGAGCTGGCAAGAGGGACACATCTGCTCCTCTCTCTTTATGCCTTTAGTCACACTGTCCCCTTCTATCATCTCCCTTCAGGATGTGGATGGTTTATTTCACATTGCTTTGACACAGCACACAGTGCCCGACTGCTCACTGCCATCAGCCTCAGCAGGGCTGGGCACTGCAGGCTGGGACACTGGGACAGGCTGGGACAGGATGTGGATGGTTTATTTCACATTGCTTTGACACAGCACACAGTGCCCGACTGCTCACTGCCATCAGCCTCAGCAGGGCTGGGCACTGCAGGCTGGGACACTGGGACAGGCTGGGACACTGGGACAGGCTGGGACAGGCTGGGACACTGGGACAGGCTGGGACACTGGGACAGAATGGGACACTGGGACAGGCTGGGACACTGGGACAGGCTGGGACACTGGGACAGGCTGGGACGGGCTGGGACACTGGGACGGGCTGGGACAGGCTGGGACAGGCTGGGACACTGGGACAGCACCCCTGGCACTGTCAGCCTGCCATGAGGAGTGCATCCTGCTCAGAGGTACTTGGAGCCCCTGAGCACAGCTGCTGCTGAGGATTTTGGCATCAGTCAAAAACAGAGGGCCAAATTTTCCCCCCAGAAATGCTGACATACGTTTGGACTTGCTCCAGATGTGTGCAGCTGTATCAAAGTGGAATCCTGCCCAGAGGCCCAAGCCACACAATTCAGAACAGGACCCAGAATTCAAAACTGTAGGAAAGCAGATGTGCTCCAGATCTGGGACATCTGCTCAGGCAGATCCCTGCTCTGAAGGCTGAATCAAAAGATTAACCCTTCCGAGAAGTTCACTGTTAGAAATGTCCCAGGGCTGGGTGAGCCAATGAGCAAATGCAGCCTTGGCTGGGGAAACCATTTCCTTTTCTCCAGAATTAACACAAAAACTTGTGGAGATCCTGAGATCACAGGGTTTTGCTGAGGCTAGAATGGCACGAAGGGTTTTGCCTAGTAAATCTATTTAAATACTGCACTCTCACTCCCAGACAGTCTACAGAGGAAGAACACTGGTATTTTATGAATCCAGCCCCTGCTGCCTGCAGGGAGCCTCAACCCCAGCCCAGCTCCCTCTTCCTTCCCTCTCACCCACCTTCTCTTTCATCTTCTCAATCTTCTTGACGGAGCTGCGCCGCTGAGGCCGGTCCTCATGCCGCAGCAGGTTCACACTGATGTCCCCTGACTTGTTGAACTGCTTTTCTTCCTGCTTCTCTGCCTCCTTCAGCTTGCTCTCGGCGCTGATGCTCTCTGCATGGTACATGTGGTAGGTCTTCATCACCTGCAGACACAGAGGCCATGAGCCACCTTCCCATGGTCACCCGCAGCACCGGAGCAGGGCAGGCCAGCAGCGCTGGGCAGGGCAGAGGGGGCACTGTGGCATTAAGGAACAGCATGGGGAGGAGAGCTTGAGAGATGAATGCCAGCCCTATTTCTAGAGGCTCCAGGCTGGTCTAAGAACTGTGATGACACTCAGCCCCACTGGGGGGACATGATCCAGCACACACCTGCAGTCAAACAGCACCGAGTCTGCCAACAGGGAAATAAGGCACGACCTCAGAGCTCTGCAGCTGGGGTCAGGGTCTCCATGACAAGTGACTGTGAGGGAGGCCACAGTCACTCTGAGCTGCCTTTTGACCTGACTCCTCTGTTCCTACACTTGGACTTGCTAAGCCATCAGACAGCCCTTTCTCTCACCCAGACAGCAGAACCACCCAAAAGTGAAGTGGTTGTAATCCCCAGGCAGAAATGGGGTTTGTCTCCTGTCACCACCTCATCCCCCCTTGGTGCCACCAGCAGACACAGGCAGTGCCAGGAGAGGTGCAGCAGCACCTTGTCCTTCACATTCCAGATCCAGGAGGGATGATGCTGATCCTGGAACACTCTACAGGCAAAACTTCCAGCACAACCTTCCCTTTCAGAAACAAGAGCCCAAAGGGCACACTGGCTCATTTCAACAGAGCTGGCAAGAGGGACACATCTGCTCCTCTCTCTTTATGCCTTTAGTCACACTGTCCCCTTCTATCATCTCCCTTCAGGATGTGGATGGTTTATTTCACATTGCTTTGACACAGCACACAGTGCCCGACTGCTCACTGCCATCAGCCTCAGCAGGGCTGGGCACTGCAGGCTGGGACACTGGGACAGGCTGGGACACTGGGACAGAATGGGACACTGGGACAGACTGGGACAGGCTGGGACACTGGGACAGACTGGGACAGGCTGGGACAGGCTGGGACACTGGGGCAGGCTGGGGCAGGCTGGGGCACTGCAGGGACAGACTGGGACAGGCTGGGACAGGCTGCCACACTGGGACAGGCTGGGACAGGCTGGAACACTGGGACAGGCTGGGACACTGGGACAGGCTGGGACAGGCTGGGACACTGGGACAGGCTGGGACACACTGGGACAGGCTGGGACAGACTGGGGGACACTGGGACGGGCTGGGATACTGGGATGGGCTGGGACACGCTGGGACGGGCTGCCTGAGGCCCAAGGGTTAAAACAGAGCAGGAACCCCCAAACGCAGGGGATTTTTACACACGGCTTAATGAAGCAAACACAGCTTTCCCCAGCTGCAGCTGCCAGCAGGAGCCAGCAGTGTTTGACTTGGAGCAGCTCAGGCTGCGCCGCAGGATCCCTCCTCCTGCCAAGCACAGCCCTCAGCCAGAGGAGGAACCCAACACCCCCGGAGCTGCACAAACCTGGCACTGCAGGGACACCCCACTGCAGGGACACCCCGCACTGCAGGGACACCCCACCCTGCAGGGACACCCCACTGCAGGGACACCCCGCCCTGCAGGGACACCCCACTGCAGGGACACCCCACTGCAGGGACACCCCACTGCAGGGACACCCCACTCTGCAGGGACACCCCACTGCAGGGACACCCCACTCTGCAGGGACACCCCACTGCAGGGACACCCCACCCTGCAGGGACACCCCACTGCAGGGACACCCCACACTGCAGGGACACCCCACTGCAGGGACAGGCAAGGGGCAGTGAGCAAAGGCTCCTGCTTGGCCCTGAGCTGCTGCATTTCCAAACCCCACAAATTCTTAACACAGAATCCAGCCATGTATTTCAAACTGCCTTTTCTGCAGCGAATGTCACAGGACACACATGAACCAGACAATTCCTGGGAAAGACCAGAGGGTTTCACTGAACCCTCCTCATCCTCACCATCTACATCTTTTTGTGAAGCACACAGAAGGAAGTGAAAAGCAAAGTGCTGCATATCAGGGCTTCAAGCAGTGAGAGGAAAGGTTCTGCAGCACTCAGAGAGGCCCTGACACAACATGAAAGAGAAGCCCAACGAGTCACAGGGCTCCAAATTGCAGGATTTTTGTGAAATCTAAAGGTTACAGGACAGTTACCCAACCAAAAGAGACACCTTAAACAACTCACTGTGCTCCTCACCAGCTGCCCTGCCACACAGCTCGCTCTTGGAAATTCAGAGCATATTTCTGTTTATATCTGCCTTAATTTTGGCCGGGGCCAAGCTGCACTGCAGCAGGCAGCCCCTGATCTGCAATTCCCTGGTGCCATCTCGGTGCCTGCAATCAAATCACGCCGTCCCTGGCTTGCATTGCTGTGACACAAAGACAAACTGCCACAGCTGCGTCCCGGGGATCTTTCCTGCAAATCAGTTAATTAGCTGCAGCGAAGGAGGAAAAATATGTTCCAATGTTCATTAGTTATTTAACAACACGAGTTGTGTTTTCCATATTAATTACATGTTCTGGATAAAGGCTGTTGCCAAAATACCGGCCATAAATGGCACTGCTGGCAGTCTCCAGCTACAAGGGCTTTGTTCTCCTCAACAGCTCATCCCCAAGATTCTGTCCCAGCAGAGGAGCCAGAGCAGAAATGGGGTGACCATGTCAGGCACAGGCTCAGGCCCCCTCAGCCTTCTGCCTTTACCAGCTCCAACTGATACCTCTCTGCTGGAATCCATATGGAGGAACCAGAGGAACGAAGCTGGTTTTAATTCACAGCTGAACTATTTCTGCACAAAACCATTCACAAGCATCTCCACTTCAGAATGAAAGTCACCCACTTCCATTTTGATTAAAATCAGTGTGGCTTTGGTTCTCTCCATACAGACTCCACAGGGTGACTTGCATCAGAACAGCAACAAGGCTGAGTTAAAATCAATGCCGTTGTTTTGGCTTAAGTTTGAGTCAGTGAATGCCTGAGAAGCCTGTAAAAAATTGTTGTTTCCACCCAGTGCACAGAATTCCCCTTGGAGAGGCTTAAAAAGCAGCCTCTCCAGGGCACAGATGAGCTGTGGGTAAAGGCCTGGCCAGAGGCAAGAAAATCGACTTCCCTGAGCTGACAGCAGACAAGTGACATTTGTGAGGAGGCAGCAGCCCGGGGTCCTGTGAGCCAGGTCCCTACCCCGTGTCTGGCTCAGACAGCAGCTCCCGTGCTGCTCGTGGGCACCCAACGTGCTGCAAAGAGCACACCAGCAGCAGCCCAGTCCCCAGGGTGCCCCCAGCCACCCCAGCACAGAGCCAGGGGCAGCTGGGCCCGTCTCACCTGATGGCTCCGGAACAGAACTCTGAGCAAGGAGCTGCTGCCACCAAGCACATGTGAGGTGACCCTGACTGCCCCACAGGCTTTTTCTGCATGCTTTTGAAACATGTCCCTTCCCTGCTCCCTCCTGCCTGCATGACACAACCAGTTTGTTGTCTTAGCAGCAAGGCTGAACGCAAACAGAGCTCCTCCAGCCCTCCCAGTTTCCCACTCAAACCAGTTTGTTTCACCACTCGAGCCCATTCTGCTCAGCACGTGGAGCAAAGCAGTGAATGGGATAAAGGAGGAGCAGAATCACCCTCTGTGCTCCCCTTGGCCCCTGCTTGCACTGGGGACCTCAGCACACTGCTGACCCCCCGTGACCCCAGCGTGTCCCTCGGGTTGTGGCCCTGTCCCCTGGCTGCGCTCAGACCATACCTGCCCACAGCTATGCAGGTCAGCCCAGCCCTTGTTAGTCCTTCCTTGTTTTGCATCTGTCATGCTGCTGCTGTAATTAATCCTAATTAGTCACCACCCCTAACACAGCTTGTGACATTCAACCATCAACAACGCACTCCCAAATCTCACAAGGCTTTTTAATCTGATCTGCTGTCCACCCACACTGCAGGTCTCACAACAGTCAAATCCTTCAACAGCCAATGCAGGAACAAACCTGTTAAGAGGAGATTTATGGCTGAAATTTCAAATGCAATCATTCATGCTCTGTTGTTTAGGCCTGCTCTTCAAAAAGATGAAATAGAATGATTGTTTAGGAATAAACCTACTGCAGCATTATTTATGTACCACTTACAGATACAACCAAAGAAAGCAAACATATTATCTCAATTTTCCAACAAAGGGCAGACTTTATATGGTTTTGTTGCTGCTAAACCACAAATAAAATAACTTTTTTAAAAAACCACTTGCTACAGGGCAAGAGGCAGAAGCAACACAAAGACTTTTTATTACTCTGCTATGAAAACCTGCTTGAAGAGCCATGTCCTGACTAACAGCACACGATCTCACTGGGAGGCACAGACAACTCTGCAGCCAAAGTGCTCCTCGGGGCACAAGAGAGAGCTGAGCCCCTACGAGCCAGGAGTTTCCTGCACGCCCCAGCAGAAGGTGTGCTCAGCCACCCCCGGCCACGGCTCACAGGGGCAGGGACATGTCCAACAGACCAGCACGGCCAGCTCAGAGCCCCTGGTGCCTGAATCACAGGCAGTGTCTGAGCAGGGCCAGAAGGGAACGTGGTGCCCGAGCCCAGCAGGTGGGAGCGTCACAGACACAGGAACCTGAGTGGAGCTCACCCAAAGAGCCCCAGCCAGGCTCAGGGGAAGCAGCTGGGCTCCGGGACCCAGCCCGTGGCCTCGCACTGCTGGGACACCCTCCAGCACTGCCACCACCCCAGTGAGCAGAGAGGCTCTCCCACAGGAGCTGAGGGCTGCAGGACAGCCAGGGCAGAGCCTCCTCAGATGTGCTCTAACAACGCCTGTGCTCCCCAGGCTGTGGCTGGGGCCGTGGGACGGGCTCACTGCTCACCGTGTAGAGCTCATTGGTGACCTTCAGGAGCTCCTCGTGCATCTGGAGGCCAATCTCCTTGCTCTGCAAGACAAAAACAAGAAGAGGTGAGGCTGTTATGCTCTAACATGCCGTTCTAAAATGAAAATACATCTTCAGAGGAATCATAAATGTGAATACACAGCACTGCAAAGTCTCATGCAGTTTCAGAGCAGCTCCGTATTCATTTGAGGTTGACGTTTGCCCATGGATCACCCAAACTGGGTTTCAGAGACCATGAGGAGGAATTTCGTATAACTTAACCTATTTACCCTGCAAACAGATGAATCTAAAATTACAGGCATTACTGCTTTCCAGTAAAATTCATTCCCAGCCCACAGCAGCTGCCCATTTGGGTATAACACACAACACTGTCCCCCAGTCTGGGACTGGCAGAGACTCACTTTGAGACAGGCAGGTGTGCATCATGCAACAGTCATTTGTGTTCCCTAGACTGGCAGTTCCCTAGACTGGCATTCTCCAGCCCCACAGCATCACCTGTCAATCTGTCTTGATCTGAAACACTCTGCTGCTCTGTGATTAAACACGTCTGCTGCTGGACCTGCAATTTCCAGGCAATGCTGGTATTTCAGAGCAAAGACTACCAGAGCTCCACAGCACCAGCATCCCAGGTTTACAACTCCCTTGGCCATGACCCACCCCCCCAGCTCCTCCTCAGTAGCTCAGTTTCACTATTCTGACCTGAGTGAACCAAAGCATCTCTGAAAAACAACATACAAAATAGCTACACCACAGTTATATAATGACGTTTCCAGTTTCACAACAGCAGCAGCCAAAGTTCAGCCAGCTGAGGAGACACTCACTGCCAGTGAGGAACTCCTGGCATCCTCCTGTCTGCTGAAATCCCATTATCAGCCTGTGTTTTCCCTTTGCTTGCCAGGCAGGATGAGGCAGATGCAGTTGCCAGCCTCCTACAGCATGGACACAGCCTTCATGGAGAGGCCACAGCACGGGGAGCTGCCCAACACTGGAGCTTGGCTGCAGACCAAACCAACTCCTACTGCAGCCCAGCAGCTGGAGGTGCTCACGCTGCTTTCCTGCCTGCCTGTAATTACACCACAAATCTCTCCGTGGAATCTTCTTGGCTAGGAAATACTTATTATAGCTTGAAGATGTGTTTAAACTAAGTATAGACACCTCCCTCCCCTAAACCAAACCAAAACAAAACTGAGCAGCTTCTCCCAGATTTCCTCAAATAACTCCAGGAAGTTTTGTGCACGTGGGCAGGGAAAACAACATTCCATCAGGCTGGGTGATGAGAGAAGCCCTCGACACAGAAAGATGCTCTAATTCCAGTTGTGGGACAACCTACATACTCTGAAAGTTTAATCTAATTATTAGAAGTTAGACTTCACCTGAAGCAAGGAGTCCAGAGGGTGAAAGTCCCACCCAGTAAGCACCGTGTGTCCGTGAGCTAGTGTCAGGGTGCCTGGACAGTCCCATCCTCAGAGGCCCAGCTGAGCACACTGGTCCCACTGCATGGGTACAAGGTGCCAGGATGGTGCCAGGATGGTGCCAGTGACCAGAAGGCTGGACCTCAGTTGAGGCCCACACCTAACAAGAACCCTGGAGCCCAGTCCCTGCCCACCAACACTGATGGTCATCATTGCTCTCAAAAATCTCACTGGGACTTGCTAATTCACAACAGAGCTGTGACAGATGTGCATCCCCCCAGAGACAGCCAAAAGGTGTTTGGAGACCTTCTCACTCTCTACAGCTCCCTGACAGGAGGGTGCAGCCAGGGGGGTCAGAGGACAGGGAACAAGGGACAGCACAAGACTCTCACTCTCTACAGCTCCCTGACAGGAGGGTGCAGCCAGGGGGGGGTCAGGGGACAGGGAACAAGGGACAGCACAAGAGAAAACAGCCTCAAGTTGTGCCAGGGAGGTTTAGGTTGAATATTTGGAAAAAAATTTCTTCTTCATTCCTGGAGGAATTTAAAATCTGTGTGGCACTTGGGGACATGGGTTAGTGGTGGCCTTGGCAGTGCTGAGGGAAGGCTTGGACTCAATGGTCTCAGAGAGTTTTTCCAACCTCAGCCATTCTGTGATTTTAATATGAGTTATTACAGTCAAGGTCTCCAAACAGGGGGCTTGGAGCCCACAGCCTGCAGGAGTCTCATGTACCCCTCCAGCCATCCCTGCTGCCATGGGTCACAGGCCACTCCCCACACCAAGGCCTCCCAAAGCCTGGGGAGGACAGGACAGGCTGGTGGCAGAAGCCGTGGCCCAGGTGAGCTGCAGCTCCTGCCCTGCCCCGGATCTCCTGCAGGGCAAGGCCACAAAGCCGCAATTCTCAAACCCAGTTTTAGACTCCAAAACAGAGCACACAAACTGCTCAGTTGCTGTTCCCTGAGCTACATCTGCACAGGCAGACACAGCTGGGGAGCACAGTTAGAGAGCCAGTTGCTCACAGACACTAACCCAACACCTGGCCCCTGCTGGAACCGGTCTGCAGCATCGCTGGGAGGCCCCAGCATCCAGGAGGGCAGTGAGGATGAGTGAGGATGCTGCAGCCTCCTTCAAGCACAGGAAAGCGAGCAGCTGAAGGACTTGCCTCTCCTCCAAGCCTGCTGCCTTCCCTTTCTCCAATGAAGAAATTATATTTTTGTACTTACAAGAAACAACACCAAAACATCATTCCAGTTCCTGGGACCATCCACAAAACCCGAACTACAATTTAGCTGCTTTGTTTATGCCTCACACTCCTCCTAAACCCCACAGTTTACTCACTGAGACAGCAATGGCTTCAAGTTAGCAATTTATTAAAATTCCTGCCATGCTGACAAAGTATGGGGAAGCAGTAGCATGGATGACTGGCAACAGAGAACACTCTAAAGACAAAGACGAGGTCTCATCCAGACCCTGCTTCTTCCTCCAACCTCCATGCAGGACAAAGGAGCATGGGCTGTAATTAAATTCACTGTCACAGCACATAATTGAACACCACACTGGGGAATAACCCAGCACCCTTATTTTGGACATAGCAATGCTCTGTCTCAAACATGTCATTTCCTGTATCCCATACCTGGAAGAAGCATCAAACTTCCTTCCTTCTGCACAGCAGAAGGTTAGAGTGGAGCAAACACCTGCCTGGCAATGGGTGCCTCACCCTGGGTTTGAGTGTGCCAGCACACTCTGTGAGCTTTCAGGGTGACAGACTCGCCCTGACAGCAGAGCAAGCCAGATCTCTGCAGGGACATCTCAGCATCCCCACTCACTGCTGCCTATGAGCAGCAGCAACACCCTCAGCCTGGTCACCTCTCCTGCTCTGGGAACGTGACTCACACTGCAGGCTCCAGGGAAATCTGCCCAACTGAGTTTTCTTCTTCTGCTTTCCTCACAGAATGCCAGAATGGTTTGGGTTGGAAGGGCTCCCAGCGGACAGAGAGGAGGCAAGCTGGAGCTGCTGCTGCTGGCCAGGGGGGAGGACACTTGGATGGACAGGGACAAACTGCTGGTTCAGTGACCGTGACCCCACCTGTGCCAGGCTCAGCCAGGGATGCTGAGGGAGCACAGCTCAGCACCCACATCTTCCCACGGGGAAGCAGCTCAGCACCCACATCTTCCCACGGGGAAGCAGCTCAGCACCCACATCTTCCCACAGGGAAGCAGCTCAGCACCCACATCTTTCCAGGCAGATGACCACTTGCTGAGCAATTGCTCCTTAGCTGTGCTCATCCCTACCCCGTGAGCCCTCCCCTCTCTTCCCCAGCATTGTTTACATTTACATAATGAATGCAGGAAACACAAAACCTCCTGGCTCCTTATGTCCCCACAGCATGTCACAAGCCATTAATAAACTCTAGATGGGAAGAATTAAAAGTGACATTTCTGGAAAAAAATGCTACTCTAATTTACCATCAAAGAGCAATCTGCAGCACACCCAGCAGCTGAAGCACGACTGCAGGGGCTTTAACCCTTCTGCAGCCGGGCTATCTGCCAGCAGCCTCGCACAGCCTGGCCCCTGCAGGAGGGCTTGGAGCACTTTACCATCACACTCAAAGCCAGACTGGACACCACAGTGAAAGATCCCTCCCCTGAGCAGCTTCATATGCTGCAAGGCTGGATCTTCAAAATCCATTTACCAGCATGATCCTACTTCCTCACAGGTGCTCCAGGTTCCCACTGAGCACTGCTGGGAAGTGGAAGTGCAGCCTCAGATCCCTTCAGACAAGGCATAGGTTGAGAAAGATAAATAACCTGAATATGCTCAAAAGTGGCAGCCTCCCTGTCCACATGAAAGGCAAGCGTGACACAAAGTAAGTCTTTTCCCTGACTTAGCTGAACGTTATTTCCAGGGACAGGTAAGACCAAGGAACAAACGCAGTGAAATCACAGGCACCCCCAACAGTAAAGCTCCTCTGGATGCAAGGCAGTGCTGGCTCTGGCAGGCTGCAGAGGGAGCCACGCCAGCTCTCCTGGCAGGAGATGGAGGAGGGAGAAACAAGGAGCAACCATTTCTATCCAATTAAATGTTGAGCCTTAGAAGTTGAAATTTAAGTTCAAAAATGAGGGGAGATGGAAGAACATCAAACACAAAGAAATAATTCTGCTGAATGGATGAAATACCTCACCATCCTGTCCTGGCTGAGGATTGACATACAACAGGAGAACACTCAAAACATTCAATACATGTCTTTGTTTGCCAGCTGGCTGGATTTGTCCTGTGCTTCCAAAGGAGACACACCATTCACAGACATGGGCAGGGAAAGCAGAAGCATAGTTTAAATATGAATCTCAAAAAGCGCTTCAGAGCAAAATGCAAATGGGAGGAACATTTTGAGACAGAACTGGACTAACTGACATACACCAAGTATCTCCATTTCTGGAGGGCAGGAGAACAGGAAAAGGGATATCATCCCATACCAAATCAGCCAACACAAACCTGACCTTGCAGTTTAATTTCTAGGTCAGATCTATAAACTAGAGGAAACTGGCCATAAAAATATCACATGAAATTTATTCTCCAGTCAGGCTGAAATTTCAAGATAAGCCTTGATTATGAGCCTTCTCCTGTGTGAGAGGCAGGTGCCCTGTGGCTCACCCTCAGCTGCCCCTGATGAAAACAAGGCCACAGAGCCCACCCTCTGCTGGGACTCTTCATGTTCTCACCACACTCCTCAGCTTCAATGAACAGTTGTGGTCCACCTGACTGTGTGATTCTCAGAATCTCTCTGATGCTCCTTTTTAATTTGGTTATCATTAATAATTCTGTATCATCAGCACATTTTGTCATCTTGCTGTTCAGGCTTTTTCCAAATAATTTATTAGGAACTGCACTGGAACTCCCCTTTTTTCCTGCCTTTTAACTAATCATTAATCCAGAAAACAACCCCTCTCTACTGAACAGCTTTTCAAGAATTTCAGCTAAGGCCCTTTATCCAGTGAAGGCCCTACAAGCAGCTAATGACACGATCTCTGGCTCCTGGAAATACCTCCACTGAATTTCTGAGGCATGACTCTTCCCCTCAGGAAGCCAGTGACGCCTTTCTTGTACCTGCCTCATGGCTGTCATCCTGCTCTTGAGCAAGGTTCCACCCAGCAAGCCTGTTCTGACCTGTTCTCTGAAGCCCTCCAAAGAGTCTTGAAAAAAGTCAGCCTGTTTCCACTCTCACTTCTCTGGCACTGACACTTTGAGCACCAGGTCACACCTCACACTCTAGACTTGACAGGTCTAGATCCCAGTTTCTTTCAAACTCTAGGATAAATACTACCTGGAAAGACTTTTAGTGATAGTCCCTTGCGAGATTTGCTCTGAAACATCTATGACAATTGTATTTTAGACTAAAATGCCAGGATGGACGCTGATGGAGCACGGCTGCCCAGGTTACCTTTTTGAAGAGCCTGATGACATCCTCGCTGATCTGCGACAGCCGGACGATGACATTGTTCATGAAGATGTCGTTCAGGGTGGCGTGGTCTCGGCTCTCCCGGCGGGTCTGCGTCAGAACCAGGTACCAGCAGTTCACAGGGGACAGCAGGTGCTGATCTTTCCTGGAGAATTGTGGAAAAGAAAAACAAAAAGGCCAGGTGAACACATCAAAAAGGCACACATTTTCAGATGACCTCTGCTCCCTCCCATGCACACAGTCACTGGGATTCAGGGTGTGATCTCCTCTTCCAGCTGTACCAGCACTGCCACGCAGGGATGCCCAGTGGCACACGAGCTCCTGGCCCCCAGCCAGCCCCTTCCCAAACTGGGTGCTCTGGAAGATGGCACAGGAGAGGAGCCATCCCTGGAAAGGGAGAGAGTTTTACTCATTTTACTCATTCTTTCCACTCCCAGTACAAATACAGCTGTCACTCTGCTGCAGAAGGGCCAGCCAATACATGTGCTGCCTTTAGTCCACCCAAAAGTGCTCATGAAAGGGTTCTGCATCCAGCATTACCTCAGCTTGTCTGTGCACAACATGAACACCCTCAGGTATGCTGGGGGACACCGTGGAGACTGCAGACCCCTCTGCATGCACACACAGACACAATGCATGCAGACACCAGGATGACTCCATGGCTCTGGGGCCACGGCGATGGCCAGAGCCAGGGCTGGGCACAGCCTGCTCACACAGCCACACAGGGACAAGGAGCACTGAAGGGACCCTGAATCCTGAGCCTCATCACAATAATGACACACATGAGCAGCTGGGGAAGTGGTGCAGATGAGCCTGGCAAGGGCATACAGAGCAGTCGGGAGGACAAAAATGTACTAAGGGTGTCTCTGGACATGGAATGGACAGTGAGGACTCAGCAGGAGAGAGCACTGAAATCAAGCTGACCCAATTAACACCACCAACACCAGCACTTGTGCCCAGGTCCTTTGGAACAGTGGAGAACCACTTGTCACCTGTGGACACTGCACAGCAGCAGCTTCCACAATTGTAAGCAATGCAAATCCTACTACAGCTCTGAGCTAAAGGGTGAGGCCAGATAGCCCCTGAACCTCTGTGGGCTCCACCTCTGAACCAGAGCTCCTTAATGGCCAATTCCTTCAATTCCTTGGTGCACAGTGCAGCACCCAGCACCACAACCAACACACAACAGCCAGATGCCAAAAGGATAGAGAGACTCTGAACAGCAACTCATCAGCAGCAGAGCTTGGCATAAGACAGCAGTAAAGCCTCACACCAGAGAGACCGAGTAAACAGATTAAATGGGATTTAGTAATATGGAATAAATAGGATTTAGCGATGTAACAGCAAAAATCACTGCTCTTGCAGCTGAAACAGGAAAAAAATCACCAAGGGTTAGAGAAAGAAACAGACTGTGAAGAGCCTGGGGCTGGTGAGCAGAAGGGCAGCAATCAGGCAGAGCCCAGGCTCTCTGTGAAAGGCACTGAACAGCAGCTGCAGTCTCTGGCCACTGAACTGAACGACATGAGTTTCACCTGGAACAAAGGGCACAATTCCAGCTGAGAGACTTTCACAGATACCACTGGCAGAAGAAGGGACAGGGACAATCACTGTGGCCCAGGGAGGCAGAGGTGGAGAGCTTGGGCTCAGGGGCTGCAAGGAGAGCAGCCAGGACCAGCACCTGTGCTGCCACATGGTCCCAGGGCACAGACTGTGCTGGGCACAGGGCACACATCCTGCTGGGCACACATCCTGCCGGGCACTGCTCGTGCTGCCCAGTGAGACCCCGTGCCCTGACACTGCCAGGAGAGCTGGCTGGCTGTGGCAGGGGACACAACAACCCCCAGCAGCTGCCAACCCCCACACGAGCACCAAGCGTGGCCCCGCAGAGCCCAGCCAGACACCTCTGGCCTGGCACACACGGGGAGCAGCCCCAGCTGCAATGGGCTCCACGGGGCCTGGAGGTCACCAGCCAGCAGAATGGCACAAGCCAGTATCCCCACCACAGAGCAGTCACCTCCAAAATGAAATTCTGAGTCAAGGTTGGTTTTCTTTCTATTTTTTCAGATATTTTTTTGGTTTAGCCAAGCTCACAAGTGTGGTTAAACTGAAAAGAAGCTGCTTTTGAAAACACATATTTACATATTCATGGATTTCACAATTGCATCACTGGTTTGATTCTCACACAATCCCAGGACTCAGTTCATATTTCCTACTTCAAATCTTTATTTCACAATATTTCCACTAAGGATCTGCCTTCCTCCAACACCATACGGCAGAGCACAGAAAAAGCATTTACTTTATTGCAAATAAAGTGCAGTAAACTCCATTTCCAGAAACTGCTTCCAACCCTGAGCCTGCCAGCAAGCCTGCACGGAACACACAGCACCTGGACAGCTGATGACTGGGCTACACAAAAACCAGGGCTACAGACCAGGCCCACCACTATCTGCACAATCAAATCAGTGGCTGAATTCAAGACCCTTCAAAAAAATCGAGGGGTTTGACTCTTTCCTAGCCCCTGTTCCTATTCTTATTGTGTTCTGAAGAAGTGCTCAGTGAGTGCAATTCACACAGCACGGGTCAGCGATGCTGTGGGGGAAGCCTTGCAAAGACACCTGTCCAGCTCCTTCTGTGAGCCCCGCAGGGAGGAGGCAGAGCAGGTCACGGCTGATGTGACAGACCTTGTTCTGCTTTAGGACTGCCCCAGCCCAGCCTCCAGCCCCCACTGCCCACCGCTCTGCCCCAGCGTGCCCCTGGGAACAGCACTTACTTGAACTGGTGCTCTCGGGAGCTGCGGATCTTGGAGGAGAAGCGCTCGGCCAGCTTCTCCAGGCTGCGGGAGTACTCCAGCTCGATCTCGGCCTTCCTGCGGAAGAACTCCTGCAGGTCCTGCAGCAGCTGCAGGCGCGACTCCGACTGCTGCTCCAGGCATTTGAACTGCTCCACCAGCTGCGTTCGGATTTCTGCAGGCACACGGGACACGAGAAGGAACAAAAGACATCAGCTGCAGACACTGGCCAGGAAGGTTCTCCTCCCTTGTCCCAGAGCCAACAGCTCTGCAGGAACCCCCTCCAAGCCCTGGGTGAATTCAGGACTCAATAAGGCCAAAGGACCTGCTTCCTGAGAGAGCAGAACAGTGCCATCGACCAGCCTCACGTTAAACCTTATTCTCTGTCAAAACAAACGGTCTTACAACACTGAGACCAACCTCAGAGCTTTCAATTGCCTTTTGAAACCTGAAAACCATACTTCTATCTAGCTGGTACTACCTGAAATCACACACTATTCTCATATAAACTAACATTTTATCTTGCTAAATGTCCATGAGAATACCTTCAAGATGGCCAGCACTGACCTTAAGAAAGCAGGCACTGCCATGCACCCTTTGTCTCACCCCATCCCCCTGCACTGCTGGGTTTAACAACAAATCCAACCCAGCTTTGGCTCAAAGGCTTAAAAAGTCTTTCACACCCTCCAAATCCCAGCTCAAAACCACCAAAGGTTTCATCTGTTCCATGTTTATTTGCTTTCCCCTGAGGACCTTCAGCCACCAGGTCAGACACACTGCAGCCCCCTGTGACCCTTCCCAAAGTGGGCTCAGCAGTGCCTGGAGGTGGGATGGGCTCCTTGGCCACCTGGGGCCCTGCTGTGACCTGCAGGGAACAGGCACTGCAGGAACAGCTGGTCTCCAGTGCTGGCCCTGCCCTGGCACTGCCAGAACCCAGCACCTCAGAACCCCACACGGGGGATTCTGATCCCAGGAAGCCAGGCAGGCAGTGGGGAAGGAGAGCTGCTCACGGGCACAGCCAGCCCCCTTGCCCTGCAGGAGAAGCAACACAGCACCTGTGGCACAGGATGTGATGGAAATAGACCTCCCCAACTCTTCCCAAACCCAGGCAGGGTTTCTGCAGCTCTGTGAAGTGCACCCGGCCAGGAGCCCTGTGCAGGAGCTGCTCACTCTCCTGGGAGCAGCAGCTGAGTTCTGCCCGGAGGGATGGGGAGCCTGGCAGGAGGGCATGTACAGAACCGGAGGGAGAGGAAAAATGAGACTAGACCATAGGGAAGTCTATTCAAACTGAGAACAATTGGGCTGAGCTGGCTGCGGGGGGCAGCTGCACGGCAGAGGGATCAGAGGAGCTGGAATGGCAGGTCAGCTAATGGAACAGGTCCATGCGCTGCCTCCCTGTTCCCAGAGCCCTCGGGGACAGCGCAGAGCAGCCCCAGCTCCCCACCCCACACCCCTGGCAGAAGGCAGGTGGGCACAGCTGAGGGGAGGCAGCTCCTGCATGTGCTCCCCTTGAGACCCTTCACTCTCCTCCTCTCATGGCAGTGCCAGACCAGCCACGGCACCTGTGGCCATTTCAGTCCACCTACAGAAACAGCCTCTTCAATGCTCCTATAGCTGTACAAGCAGCCCATAGCACACAAGATGTCCTTTGCCTTTCCCTGAGGTTTGTAAGTAGCTCTGTTTTTCTCACTTTGCTCACCCGACACTGGTGAGAAGCCAAGGCCCCTGGCAGGGGATGGGTGAGGCAGAGCAGGGATGCTCAGCACAGCTGCTGCCTCTGGCCAGACTGGGGGTTCCCTGGGACTCTGGGCATCTGCTGCACACAGACATACAGACATCAGCCCTCACTCACAGCAAGCTGTAGAAACTCCAAAATGAGGGGCAATCCCACTCCACTGAGAATGCTAGAAATACCTTCAAAAGTTAAATTCTCTGCCAGAAGAATGCAGGAAAGGATGCTAAATTGCAAACGAGGTCTCACAACAACTGGCATCAGTGCCTCAGCCTTTATTCTCTCTGTTCCCAGTTTGCTGGAGTCCAGCTCTCTCTGTCCCTGGCACACTTTGACCTTTGTCGACAGAATTTCTTTGTTATTCCTATGCCTGTAATGTGTCGATTTGACACTTCTGTTTCCTTGCAGGAGTTCAGCCAGGTCAGTGCCAGCCCAGCACGGAGAGGCAAAGGACAGGCTCTGTGGGCACAGGGAGCTGCCAGCCGTGACCCTAAAGCCAGCCAGTGACAAGCCATCACACCAACAGTGGAGATGGCACTGACACCAGGGCTGCTGCTGCATGCTAAATGGGAAGGGCTCATGTAGGAAACAAAATGCAAAGCTGCTGGCATCATCAATGCAAAGACAGACATGGCAGCAGAGAGAAGGACATCGCTCAGTGCTCCAAGGGAGTCAGCTCCTCTCTGCTCGCAGCCATGCTACATCCCTGCTGTCCATTGTGGGGGCATTCACAGGCCTGCAATTCCAACCTCCAAACAACTGCCAGGTATGCCAGTAGATCATTTCTCTTCAGCACCAAATCCCAAAACTTTAGCTTTGGCTCCTCAAGTGGCATCAGCCACCATGGAAGCCAAGCCCAGCAGAAGGGCAGCAGGATACCCTGCAGAGCTCACGGACAGGCAACACACGGGAAGTTAGGATGGGATATTAAATAAACCCAATTCTCCACAGGCAAACACTGGCGAAAGCAGGCAGTGGAAAACCCTGGGCAGCTAAGACTTGCAAAGTGCAAACTGAGACAGGAGAGGCCAGGGGAGCCGGGAGCACGGGGAGCCTGCAGCGTGGGCTTGGTGCTGCTCCAGCCAGCACAGCCTGCCCCAGCAGCTGCGGGCCGCAGCACCCTCCTCCTCCTCCTGGAGATGTGGGTTTTGGCACAACACCCCCTCCCCAGCCACGCTCTGGCTGCTCAGACAGGGACAGACAAAGGCCGAGGTTTCTCTAGCAACGGGCTGGGACAAGGCTGCCCCAGCTCTGCGGCTGCCGTGCCGGGGGAGCAGGACAAAGCCCCGCTGCCCAGCCCCTGCAGGGCCCCGAGCACAGCCCACCCAGCCCGGCTGCTCCACACGCTGAATTATCCGCATTTCCCATCCCGGCTGCTCCACACGCTGAATTATCCGCATTCCCCATCCCGGCTGCTCCACACGCTGAATTATCCGCATTCCCCATCCCGGCTGCTCCACACGCTGAATTATCCGCATCCCCCATCCAGGAGAACAGCGCTGCCGCGGATCCCCCCGCCGGGCAGCCTCAGACAGCCGCTCCTCTAACATATGCTTCACCCCACTGATTTGTGACAAGTGAGAAAATGTGCTTGGCAACAAAAGCCATTATTTTCTCACAACTGGGATTAGACCCAATAGTTCATTGCAAATATAGCACAGCAAGCTGGACTCAGGGAGGATCCAATTCTTACACAATTACAGAACACACTAACAAGGCCACTTGACTCTCGATTGTTTTTATGCCCCCTTCAGAGTATCCCTGTGCTGCCTTCCCTAAAAGCTCAGCCCCCTTCAGAACAGCAACACCTCGGATGTGTTTCCCAGTGCTTTGTCATGCCCTGTTTGACCAGCACCCGCAGTTTCCCTGGGAGAGCCCTCACACACACGGAGCCGGCTCCGCTGTGGAGCCCAGCACAGCCCAGCAGCGCCGGGCTCTCGGTGCCATGCTGAGGAGCCGGGCTCGGTCCCAGGCTGGCAGGGCATTTTCCAGAGCCCACGCGTGTCTGGCACCTCTGGCACTGCTTCCCCTACACAGCAGCAGCAGGGATGGGGTGCCAGAGGGCCATCCACCTCCTCGTGAGGGCTGCAGCCAGGAGAGGCCGGGCCGGGCCCCAGCAGGGACAGCACCGAGCCTGAGCAGCCGAGGAGCTGCAGGGCTCGCAGCCTGGAGCACCCCAGACAAACGCCGGGGTGCCTCCATCCGCTGCACTGCTCCCTGTGGAGCACTGAAAGCAAACAGCCCAAAGCTGCCCCGGCCGCCCCTCTCCTTCCTTCCGTGTGATTAGGAACATCACTGCCTAGACAAAGACAAGAGATACGGCTCCTGGTAAAACAAAGAAAGAGACAAGCCTTTTATCTGAAACAAGTGTTCCTGGTTAAAAAAAAAAAAAAAAAAGAGTGACATGAAAACACTTCTCTCCAGTATGAAAACAGCTCCAGTGGCACTGGCATTTTTCAGGTATTTTCATGTGTGTCTGTAATCCCCAGCCCGTGCTGCAGCACTCTGTGTGCACAGCCCCAGTTTTCCCTCATACCCACACTGCAACTGCTGGGCTGTGAGGCAACAACTTCATGTGCAACCACTCAGAAGGGAAGTGAAAGTGTAAGATAGCATATCTCAAACCCGGTGACTTCTCTCCTGGGAAACCCCTGCCCTGGAGCAGCCCCTCGTTTAATGTAAAGGGCAAAGGAAGATGAGAACAGTCCCTCAATGTCCAAGAACAAATATCACCTCTGATATGGTGACAATGAAGCCTTGAAATGATTAATAATAAGCTTAGCAAGTACAAGAAGAAGGTGGCAAAGCTCTGCCACGGAGAGGCACAGCGACAGCAGATCCCACCCGCTGCCCCTCACGCGCTCCCCTTCCCTCTCCTGTCCTTGCACACGATGGTGGCTGCTGCTGCTGCAGATGCAGAGGCATTTGTCATACACCTTGATACTCCAAATCCACAGGACTTACTGACAGCAGATTTCCCTTAAAATCTGTCTGTGAATGCAGGTCTGAAAGCAGCCAGCCTGGCTCCTGAGGAGGCAGCAGGGAACAACAGCGTTTTGGGTGAAGCAGAGCACCAGTTCCCTTCCACAGGCAGCACTGCCTGCATGACAGCCCGTGCTCCTGGGACACAAGGAACCAAAAAAACAACCAAAGGAATCCAAACAGTGGCTACTGTTAACTCCAGCTGAGCCTCAAGGCCAAACTTCCCACAGATCAAGAGTGAGAACAGAGATAATGGTGTGTTGCAATTATGTCCAATTTAAGAACAGAAACAGCACTTCAAACCATACATCATGTGTGCCAGATGGGAGGAGAGCTGGCCAGAGAGTGCCCAGACCAGGCACCAATGCCAAGCACAGCTTCGCTGGCTCTGGGAACAGCTGGGCACTGCCTCTCCAGGTTCTCTCGCACCTCCTGGACACTTGTCCAGGGATGGCACAGTC